GCCGTAACGAAACCGCAGAAACGGACCCCTAAAACGATAACGGGTCCCAAGGTGGATAGATCTGCGGACGGAACGCTCTGGGGGGCCAAACGGCTCCGTGTGTACGTCCTATACGATCATTTCCTGATAATGATGAAGCCATAGCCTCTCCCCACATCTGCTGCTCACTGCTGTAGCATGGTCAGTAGCTACTGTCAGTAGCTACTGCTACTGCTACTGACCATGCTACAGATGTTAGTGCAAAATCTACAGCTCCTCTACCACAACCATCAGCAACAAGTGGACATGGAGAACTACATGAACTACATGTGGCTAAATCCACCGCGGAGAATAAACAGAAGGGCAACCAGGCAACCATGGCAACCATGGCAACCATGCTCGGGGGGTCTTCTTCGTTGCTTTTGGTGTATTTTGTGGCGGAAGTACAGCGCAACTTACAGGCCCGGCATATGTACTACATTACATTAAATTGCATTTAGCTGACGCTTTTATCCAAAGCGACTTACAATAAGTGCATTCGACGAAGAAGATACAAACTTGAAGAAAACAGAATCATATAAGTACTTCAGGTTTCATAGAGCCAAAACATTTCAAGTGCTACTCAACTGGCTTTAGATAAGCCAGTCCTTTATTAGTATACAAGTGCTTTGTTAGTAATTATTTCGCGAGAGATGAGCGTCTACTACAGCGTCTCCAGCGGGTCGAGCGGTCTCGTGTGAAGGGACACGTATATTGAGCCGTATCCGTGTGAACGGAAGACTTTTTTGATATCGAATTCAGTTCGTTTGCGTTTCGTTTGCGTTTCCATGTAAATGGGGCCTCAGGAATGCTGGCCAATTCAATATATGCAGGGTACATCATGAATAAATTGGATATGGTGTCTATGGAGCTGAATTCAAGATTTGTTTTATTGCCAATTTCGATTTTGCTTATGGCTCCAGTTCTTAATCCATTCCCTAATTGACTGAATTCATTTTTTGCGTGGAAAGATATTTTATTCATTTTTTAGTCTGAATACAGTGGAGAATGTCTGCCTAATAACATTTGAACATTTCATTGGGATGGGTATTTTCAGTATATTCAACTTTAGAGTGGTGTGTTCATAACGTACCCATTAGTGACCTTTTCTGCACTTTGCGGATCTTCCCTTTTAATAACTTTGCTGTCCTTATTCTTCTTCACAACTTCCTTAGTTGTTTTGCACCCCAATGATAGCTTACACTCAGGCTCAACAAACGGCATTAGCTCACAGAAGCATGCTACTTCCGCAAATCTTGAAGGAAGGATGTCCTTACATGAATTGTTTTAATGTGTAACTGCCAGAATAACATGCTGGCATCGATTTGATCAGGAATTGATTATCTCAAAGAAAAACAGTTCAGATGTATCAATCAGTTTAATGAATTAATGAATCCAATACCAGAGGTATCCAAATTGTTTAGCTTTCCAACTTTGGAAATAGTGTTAAAAATGCAGAAACAATGTGATTTAGTGCTTAATCAGACAAGAGATGATTTTTGTTTCAGCATGAAACTACAGTATCTAAAACTAATTTCAACCCTGCAGTCGTCCAACTTGGTGAGGATATTCAATTGTTCTCTTAAAAGCAGAGTTAGACTGAAATGTCTCTGAATTCATTTCTGAATGATTATCATACAAAAACCAGACTTATGAGCAAACTAATGTGCTAATAAGTGTGTTGCAATTAATATTCCATCAACTATTTATGTAGTGCAACATGTATACAGCAGAAATATGTGTATGCAGTGCATCCTTTCCCATAATATTTCTTTTTTCCCCTTGTTCCTACAGTTAAGCTTACAGAACAGCAGCAACATGGCATGGCAAATAAACAGAATTGAAAATCCAGTCAACAAATCAACTATTTTTGTAATCTCACCTTTGGCTGAATGACATTTCTATCGTATCGCTTTGCCTCATGGAACCAAGCAAGAGTGTATGAAGGGCCCACAGGATAGCTCAGATCAATTTTCTAACCCACTAAAGAAAAACTCTGAATTGCACTTCATGCCCAATAGAAATTGCCTCTGTGTACAGATAGCAATCCAATATCAATGAAAATATGGAACAGTGCAGCTGTGCTGACCAAAGCTTATTAAGGTCGCTCTCCAGCAGAGGTTCCAGACAGGATATGATAAGATCTGATAACAGACATGCAGGTTGCCATTATTAACCTTGGATATCATAAACACCTGATCCAGCTTTAGCATTGAAATATATCAATTATTTTCCATACAGAAGGCCATGCTTCTGTCAATCATCAGACAGAATAAAATAATAATAAGGCTTGACAGAATAAATGTAGCATTCAAGTCATCATTTCATGTCAAAATGTTTGGTCCTCCCTACAACATGCCTTTACCCACTATCAGTCATATATAAATGTGCGCTTGTAAAGGGATTTAGAACAAGTTTGTCCATAACGAATAGATCACATTAATGAAACTGACTTCGAGGACAGGTTTATCAATCATTCAGCCATCTTATCACCTTTATAACAGACAACAGCCACAAGCTGACAGTCACTCTCTTATCACACTAATCCGGATAACTTCAGTACTGAGCCTGTGAAGGCAGCAGGGATAAATTAGTTTACTCCTACAAAGATTGGATTAAAAGCCAGGAGTGGACCTCGACCCCCTGGCCTCAAAGACAACAGCCCCAAACTGCTCAGCTTTAATGAGCATGTCAGCTTAAATGGAAATAAATAACTAAAGAAAACAGGATTTGGCTCTTTTTTGTTTTTTTAAATGCCCACCCTTTATTTTAGACACAACTAATATACCTAGTATACCCATCTGCAAACTTTGATTTATACCACTTATGCAAGAACTATATATTCACAATGACTCAACTCCCCTGCCATGCTTCATGCAGCAGCATTTTATTTGACAGCTGACTCAATATTAATATAGTGCAGGTTAAATGTGATCCTTGGAGCCCAGTGTGCTTTTAATCCCTAGAGAGTTCACCTCTCATGTGCGCATCGTGTTATTGAAACAGCAGTCAGAGCCGTTTGTCTGCCAACCGCTTGAAATTGAGCTCTAGATAAAACAGCTTATATTTTGAGATACATGTATTGCATACAGACTCAACATGCTTAATGCCAACGCACGAGTACGAGTCCCCACTGCAGCTCTATATAGACAGTCTAGAAGCAGAGAGTTAGCACACTGCAGTGAAGGACTCACAAATGAATACAGAAGCTCGGCTGTCACACAGTGACAGGCCCCTTTAGAAGCTGCAAGGCAGCATTTCGATGGACGAAGACACAATATGACAGGTAAACAAAACTACAACCTGTGCAGACTGAAATAAAATGAAAACGGATTAGGGCCAACTCTGCTGAGACACAGTGAGCCGCAACTCACCCGATACATAATTTAAAGTTTAAATTGGCATATGGGTTTTAGTAGAGGGAAGAACATTACCTCTCAACGGGGCGTAAATGTGTTCTATTGAAATTGTTCACAGTGGGTGAAGGCACCAAGGGACAGTGAGATAGGGACAAAGTGAGTCTATTCTGACAGCTACTTAACCTCCAGACAGGTCGGTTTCACAGGAAGGGTAGCCTCATTTAATTCCACATGGCCTGTGTAAGTGTTTGTTTAAGGGAGGGGAGAAAGGAAAACCACAGGAAAGGGTAAAGGTGATCACAAGACAAATAGAGCGTAGGACAATCAAAGAAGGAAAGAAGAAAGAAAGAGAACATTCACAAAATACAACAGCAGTATTCCTAGTAACAGCGAAGGGGCTGTTCTACCCTGAGCTGCAATGACTTCCTCATTCTTTCGTATTCAAGCCCATCCTGTGCCTCACCTCCCTCCCTGTAAAGCTAGTTGCTCTGAGTTTCAGCAGAGGGAGTGGGTCATATGGGCAGGAACAAGATGTGCAACTGTATTGCATTGTAGTGACAGTTTTGTAAACACAACACCTTCTGGTTATTGTAGAGCATTTGTGAGGTTTCATGTTTTGCTACAGCTGGCCTTATTAAAGGACCTGCATCACTGTGCAGGAAACCCAGGATCTCCCAACTGAATGGGGAAACACCCTCAGGGAGGGGAGAAACGGCAGGCTGGGCTGGAGAGTCTGACATCATTCAAGTGTGGGCTTCCAGGTAACACACACACACACACACACACACACACACACACACACACACACACACACACACACACACACACACACACACACACACACACACACACACACACACACACACACACACACACACACACCACACACACACACACACACACACACACACACACACACATCAACACACACACACACACATCACACACACACACACACACACACACACACCACACACACCACACCACACACACACACACACACACCACACACCACCCACACACCACACACACCACACACACACACACACACACTGACAACCAAACCCTCCTAAAACTGCAGCCTAAAAGCTGCTCACACCACACAACCTCATTGCAACAGAACAAAAATTCAGTCGGTTATCAAACCAACCCTAACAGTCCACTGCTGCAGAAACAACCCCACACCTTAAACGAATGGCATTCAACACTGGCTGGGAAAAAAATATGTCTGCAAAGTTGAAGGACGCGAGAGATATGAGGCTTTGTGGGAAAGCAGAGTGTCTGAAGGCTGGTTACAGTAAACGGCGGGGCCAGTGGGGTGTTGATGGGCTTCAACCAGCGCTCCCAAAAAAAAAACTGCATTGCCTCTGTCAAAGCTCTACGTCCCATTGTGGATTAAAAAGAACCACACGGCACCGGGTTGAGATACAAATCATGACTCATCTAGTGCCTCACCTTTCCGTGAAGCGCAATCTGAAGAAAAGATATGAACGAAAAAAAATCTTGAGGCTAGTTAGCTTTACTTCCTTAGCCAGCCCAGCCGCCACCGCCGCTTTCTCTCCGGTCCAGCCTGCCTGCCCCGGTCCTACACCTCTCCCCGTGCACACACGTCCTGGGACTTACCGGTCTTATGTGCTGATGATGTCGCTGTGAAGAGACAACAAGTGCGGGGAGGCTGCCGGCCGCCGCTCCGCTGCTCCGGGACAACAGGAGTACTGATCTGCACACTTTCGCAGCCATCTCTGTAGTGAAACCTCGCCGGGAAGGAGACTGCTGCGGGCGGACCGAGACGCACCGAAGGGAAGAGGGAGGGTGGTGGGCGGGTTTGCGGGGCTGGACTACGGCTTCGTTGTACACATGCCCAGTGTTGCACCAGTATGCAAAGATAAAAACCACTTTTGTGCTGGCTAATTCAAAACAGGTGACTGCATGTCATTTGTCGCAACAACAAACCAACACCATTCAGCTACTCTAATGAAGGTCACAAAATGGGATTTTACATACATGTTTAATAGAAAGGAGGATTTAACATGATGGTGTAATATGACAGTGGTCTGTTTGGATTGTACAAAATAAAAGTGTAATTTCACAACATTTCAGTTTCTGATCTCAAGAACAGAGTGAAAGAAAAATGAATGAAACCACTGCTTCCTGTCTCAACACTATCTCTACTACAATCTCTTTATACATTTCTCAACTACTCAACAAATGAGGGGAACCCTAGGTAGGTGATAGAAGGTATTACAATGACACAGCAGGATATTTTTTAGAAAGTATTGGTTACCACATTATCACACCTAATAGTCAAATAAATGTAGGCTATTAAAATACGCCTGTAAATAATAATTGAGTTTCTCTGTTTAAGTTACTTATTCATACCTGTCTGTAAAGTAGCCGTGTGTATACCTACTTGGATAACCACATCTACAATAACACTTCACTGCAAATGTGTCCACATATACAGAAAGAGACAGACACAATCAAACTTGTGTAAATGTCTCTAGGCTATTTCTCGCCAGACTTGCTGTCAGGGGCCCCACCATATTGCTCTATAACTATGTCTAATATTAGCTTGTCCTTCGGTCACTCTTGTGACTGTGTCCCAAAAGAGCAGCCAGCAGGGTCAAATCTAATTGCATGGATCTTTAGTGACTTTTAAACAGCATGGTCTTCTTTGTAATGTACAAGCATTTTAATGCATTTTAGTGTTTCTGTCCCCAAATGGCAGAACATGAAGGTAAGCGGTCAAGTATGAGGATTTGTGTCTTTTCCAGAATCACTCAACCATTGTAGATGACGCTAATAGGAGTGGTAATGGGTTTGTTAGGTCAATGAATGTCAAGGAGACTCCCCACAGTGGAATGTCACATGTTCTCCTTAATCTTTGACCAAACCTGTAATATAATGCTGCCTGCCACACCTGTATTGGTCAAAGTAGAAACCAGATAGCATACAGTAACTCTCACATTGTTATTATAAAGGCCAAACACATTTTGAGACTTTCACTGAAGCCCAGACTTTGATGAATAAGAAATAAGATAAAAAAGCAAAGATAGATTTGCTTGTTTTGTTGTTGCTTGTGTTTGTCTTATTTTTGTTTGTGAAATACAATACAGTATTAATATATAATTTCTTCAGAACTGATCCCTTCTGTACTTCACATCAGGCTATGTGGGCGATCCAATTTAAATGTAAATTCTCAGTCATGGACAAGCACCTGCTCAAGGCCTCCAGGCTGCATCGATTCACAAAGCGAATCTTTGTGTGGTGCAAAATACTACTAGCCACTTGTTTTCATAAACCTTTACAGTACTACTGTATGTACACGGGACAGTATGTGCAAATGACGTATCAGTAGTGTAAACAAAATACACTGCAGTCAGTCAAGTGAGTTTTGCATGATAACATTGTTGAATCAGTGCAATTAATGAGGCTAAACTTAGCGTATAGTTACTTATCAGAATCTCATTGTCTGAGCTTGTAAGATCCTTATGTGAGCTACAGAATATACCACCATTTGTTCTTATATCACACTCCTTTCAGGGGCATATTAACATGATTAATGAAAACAAAAACAGAATTAAAGTAAAAGTAATACATCTTTACACACAGTACTAACTGCGTAACTTAAAATAAAACATAAAAATGTAACTCCATAGAGACAGAAAAAAAAGGAATTTAAAAGAAAAAGAACTGCTTTAAAAACTCTCTGTACCCATAAAGGTCATAGATGAAAACCTTGAGTAAAATAAGAGGTGTGTCTGCATGCATTCCTGTGTGCATGTGTGTGTGCGTGCATGTCTAAGCATGGCTAAAAATGTCTCCAGCTGCATGAATTAGCCTCTCCCATGGGTCTACAAAAAAGGTAATGCCCAAAGCAAGCATGCGTGGGTGTGTAACTTCAATTTCATCACACCACCAAGCAGATACTTCATCATGTAAACACAGACCTAATTAGGCAGTGTATGCTGCTGTTCTTCTCTTGCTTACCCTTACACATATTACGGCTCACAGACACCACACAGCATATGACTGCTGAAACAAGAGCCTGCTTATGTCTGCAGGTCTTCACCTGAGCCATCCTTCACCATTATACAGAGATACAGTTTGTGGATCAAGTTTCACCGGAGTTGTCATTTTACAAAGCAGCTCAGCTGGGACTTGTGTACCCACAAGGTGCACTGACACACAGGCAGTCAGCACTCCCTTATGGATTCACAAGTGTGTTCTTAATATAGCACTCAAGACTGACACACCCTCTTAAACCAAACACAAGTCGCCGTCGTAGCAACACTGTCATGGCCCTGTGCATAACCTTCAATCAGCTTAAAGTCAGTAAAACGGGAAGTACTGGGTTCAAAGAGTGGGAGTAGAAAGGCATGCCATTACTTTTAAGGTTTACACAACTGATTGATTCCTAACTTCTAATTGGCCAGCACTGAACCCAACACCTTGAACAGACACCCCTAACATGGTGACAGGTCTAAAACCACTTTGCCAATAAGCTAATGATCACCTTTTCCTTTCCAACTGGTTCAGTCCAATTATTTTTGTATGTATTTTGCATGACATTTAAATGTGAAAGTTGTAGCCTACTGTTAAACTACAAGAGACTGGCCTTTTGTGGTTCTGATTGATTCCAGCATTTAAACCGATTTTCCTTTTGGACAATTTAGAGAACTGATTTGCATTGTGTTCGAATTAGGGCAATATTCACTACCATTGTGTACACGTAGACCAAGCTGAGGTTGTTAATGTTGTTAAGCTATTTAACCCTTTAACTGCCAGACCAAGAAAAAAGCTATGGAAAAATTATTTTTTTGCATTTTTTTATCAAATGGGCCACAAATAACCACAAACAATTTTTTTTTTTTGACTGACCACACAGTTTTGTTTTTATGAGCCTCTACCAACTGGTCGAGCTGGCCTTTTATGGTAAAGTGCATTTTCAACAATCATCATATACAGTATTTGTATGCATCAAACTCAAATAAAACACAAACTGAAATACATTTGTTTCTTTTATGGAAAATTAGCAATATATACAATCAGATATATGCATAAAAGATAATAAATTATAATTGTAAAAAAAAAAAATGGAAAAAAGTAATGTTAAGTGTTTTTCATAATAAAAAAAAGACTTGCTCATCTTACTGTATATGCTGAATTGGCCTAACAAGAAACCACTGGCCTAACAGCAAATGTCTATATCCTGTGTTGGCCTAACTTGCTCATCTGTGTGCAACTTTGGGCTGAATGCCATGCATGAAAGGTGCTATATAAATTATTATCACTCTTTCACTCTGAGACTCATAAGGCAGTACTAGATTTAGTAATATTACCATGAATCTAGCTATTTATTTACCATATTTTATTGGAAAACATCTCTGAAACTCTAAAAACGTCATATTGCTAGTATACCATAAAAAGCCAATTCGACCGATTGGTTGAGCATATTTTCCAAAAAATAATTACACCCTTGTTAAAACTTTTTTTGTGCATCAAGTTATCTAATTATGTTCAGTCAGTGCCCTGACACTAAAATATGTCAAAAAGGATATGGTTACCTTGCTAAAGTTGACCAAAAAGAGTGATTTCTTCAGCAGTGATTTTTAGCATTGCCAACTTCCTCAGTGGAAGCTAGCTGAAGGGCTTTCTGTTCGAACCACAGTGACATCTTGAGGTTGTTTTGTGCATAACATGTCAACCAAAGGGTAGAGCTGGCTGAATCAGATGGAGTTCAACTTTTTTTTCAACAAGATATCAAGACACAAAATGTGCTCTACCAAATGGTGGCGCTGGCAGTTAAAGGGTTAAAGGGCCCATGTCATGCTTTTCCGGTTATTACCCGTCCCCTTGTGTGTTATAAAGGTTTTTATGCATGTAAATGGTCTGCAGAGTCAAAAACCCTCAAAGTACACCCTGTAGCGAGTAAAACTCTAACACAGAAAATGCTGCCCCAAAACGCCTCGTTGGAGATTTCTCATGTTCCATTGTTTGCTTCCTGGGTACTGTGACGTGTGAATACCCAAATCAACAACAAATTACCGGATTGGCCCAAATGGACCAATCCGCGGAGCACCTCACACACCAGGATCCCTTGGCTAACTAAAGGCCCGGACACACCAAGCCGATTTTGGCCGTCGGTGGGCGTCAGGCCGACGATGAGTGTCGACACGCCCTACTCAGATTGGTGTGTCCCGCACCGTTGTGTCTTTTCAGCCGTGCCGACGCCTTTTCGGCCGAAGGCAGTCGGCAAAATAAATCACTCTGATTGGCTGTTCAGCTAGCGAATCAGTGCATGAGAAGCGAAAAGGAAGTGAGGGACCCAAACAAACTATTAAGAAGGCAAATCTGAGATTTCATTTAACTCCAGCTCTCGACACAGGTTCGGGAAAGCCCCATGAGCTTCTCGTTGTAGAGTGAAAATGGAACGCACACGCTATTTGTTGTTTGTTTATATCACGCAGTCTGTTCTTCTTCTCTCGGTTATCACGCAGTCTGTCTTCCGGTTGTTGCCTCTTTTGAATGACGAATACACACTACCGCCGCCTGCTGGTAAGGAGAGTTATTGCCACTCATGCATGCGCAGTTCGTACGTGCTTCTTGGCTGTCGGCTGAAGTCTTTGCGGTGTGTTCCAGTGCGACACATGGCCAAAACGCAGAGACGCGAGGGGACGCAACAGTCGGGGTCCGTCTGTGTCAGTTCTTTGGTGTCAGCTTGGTGTGTCCGGGCCTTAACAGGGAGTCCCTGAACGCTGGTAATAGACGAGTTGGGATCGCGGAGAAATGCTCTCCGCAGACCCATTCTCACAGCGTTATAAACCTTTTTCTTACTCAATATCAAGCCACACTTATTGTTTTTACTTCGGCTGTGAGTGTTTGTGTGTGCTCAGGATGAGTTTCGCTTGTTCTCGCTGTATCGCCGACCCGGAAGCCTGTCCGCTCCTCGCAGCAACGAGCCTCGCAACGAGCCTCGCAACGTCCCGACCAATCAGAGCACACTGGGCTCACAGGGAGGGGGGGGGGGCAGGAGCTCCAACAAGCCGTTTAGGACAGAGAGTGAATACCTGGTGAATACACAAACTATACAGAGATGCTGTATGAGAAACCAATGTGATTTTAGAAAATTGCACAATTTAAATCTATTCTAGTAGACCTCAACAATGGAAATATGATCAGGAGAAATGGCCATGACATGGGCCCTTTGGGTCCAATTGTTATTGTAATAGTTTTATCGATAAAGCAATATAAAGACTGAATGCTTAGATTCTGGCCCCAGTTGTCAGGACAGTGTCCAATTTCTAAATGCAATAAATCAAATCCTCCTTATATATAATGCTTCTTTAAAGGATAAATATTTGGCTCAGTTTTCTATTTAATAACTTAAAAAAAATTATAAAATTATACTTTAAAGTGACGCAAGTTTTGTGTATTCGCATCCTGTTGCTAAAGTGAGATGACATAAAAGTAAATGTGTTGTTATTCAGCATGCCGAAAGAGGAGTCCCAGAAATACTAAGCAAGGACATGCCTCCTCCTGCCTTCAAATCTGCAGAAATGTGTATTAACAGGTCTGATATCATGCATGTGTTAACTGATATTTATTTGTGTGTGCAGGTTGGTTCCACCTAGCCAAGAGACAAGGCCAAATATTATCAGTTTGGTGTCGCCAATAAGATTACAACTTCACAATTGCAACTGAGAATTCTCAAAATGTCTGTCTTGTCAACGCACTCTAAAAAACCTTCTGGCCAGATATCTATCTGAGAAGTTTCCCCTCTACAAAAAGCAATTTAGTTTAATTACTTTGAGTTAAGAGATGCAAGTATGATTAAGATAAGATAACTTTGACAATTTGATTACAGTTTGTTTATGTCTAGGTGGATATAAACTATTCTGGCATCCCTGGCATTTCAGGGACACGTCTTCTGTGACACATCCCCAGTTGACTCAGCAGCCCAGCAATTTTTTTGCATAAAGTCCAGCAAATATATGTAACTTGCACATGTGAAGAGGCAGGTTATTTAGTGTTTATACATTTTATACTGGAGGACTGCCAAGCCATGCAAGACTGTCAGCAGGGACTCTCAACACATCTAATTAAATTCAGTTGAAATTATGTTTTTAATTTGAAATTGAATTGCCAAAGCTGCCAAGGTGTATATATTTTCAAACTTACCAAATAAACAGTTTCAGTAATTTGAACGACTGAGGTTCTAAACAATCTATCTATATGTAGGCTACCTGTGCTATGCTAACAATCAGTTTCTAATCATAGCCTACATTTTCCAATATGGTGTAAAGTACATTTACAATTTTGAGAGACGTGTAGGCTACTTTATTTGAGTATTTCAATTGTTTGCTACTTTGTACTTCTACCCCACTACAATTCAGAGGTAAATGGTGTACTTTTACTCCATCACATTTATTTAATACCTTTAGTTACTTTGCACATTTTGATTAATGATTTGAATGATAAATATCACTTAAAAATAACTTTAGTTACACCTGGAGTAACATTCAGTAGCTACCCTACAGTATACAAAGTAATTAAAACTAGCTGCACCTTTACCAGCTTTTATAAACACATTAATGCATCCCTAATTATAATAAAAACATATCATATATTATTTTGCAGAATGAGTCATTTTACTTTTGGTACATTTTGGTGCGAATACTTGTGTACTTTTACTTGTGTAACCTTTTGAATGCAGGACGTTTACTTGTAACATAGTATTCCTACACTATGGTAGCCTACTTCTACTTTTACGTCAGTACAATATCTTCTTCCACCTCTGCATATAGGGTATACAAAACCAAATCTGAACAAATAGACTACTATTTGAATAAGTTAAAGTAAAAGGGATGCTCAGCATTGTTTTCCCTCTTCTTCAGCTCCCATATGGTGAAGGAATGTGTTGAACAGAGGAGCAAGCCATATTGTAAATAACATAACATTTCTTGTGAAAGTTGTATTGTTAGCAGCTTACACACAGACAGTACATGATCCCCAGCAGTGGTGGGACACAGCCCGTCTGAGCTGCACTGGGCGGTCTGCACGTCGCCCCTCCCCGCTGTGTGCACCGCACTCGGTGAACACGGAACTGGTACTCCATCTCTGCAGACACAAGAGGGAAGGTGAAACGCTGAAGACATTATCGTTTTGGACTGACTGGCGTTTGTGTTGTCATTAACGTGAGTAACCGAGCCGCTTCTATGCTAAGACAGCCCTCTAACGAAACTCTATGTAGCCGACGAAATAGCCTTTGCATGAGCTAATAGTGTACGTTTATGCTAATGCTCACTGTTAGCTTGCTAGCTAGCTGGTGTTAGCTGTCGTACGAAATAATTATCGGGGTGCTGGACTCGCTAGCTAAGCTTGTGACATTAAGAAGTAATGCGCATTTAGGATTGGTATTGAAAACATATTAATGGTTAAAAGACAGCGAGTGTAACATTACTGGAGGCTGTTGTCAACCACGTTAACTTAATGCTAAAAACAAACATTGGGGTGCTTGTGCTTCATTGGAACAACTTTGGTGCTTCGGGTGTCCACTCTGACAGGTCAAACACATCCCTTATTATAATGCAAAGATTATGTTTTTTTACCGCTGTTATGTTATATTTACCAATTAACTTTAGCTGTTGATGACTGTGTGCAGTGTTGTTGTCAAAGACCCTGACAGCGACACACTGGTGGGGATCATAAAATCATGTCAGCCACACCCCTCATGAAAACGCAATGGGTGCTCATATGGGAAGATTGTGTTTACGTTATATGGTTAGATAGTTCTGAAAAGAAAATATATGATCTCTCTTAGACAGGTTCGTTTATTTTTGGCTAACCTGTGAAGTAAACTTATCTTACTTTTTAACATTGATGGTATTCTCCCTGGACCTCAGTTTTTGGTTGTGTGTCTCACAAAACTAGCTACCAGGGCATTACACAGAACCTAGGAGGTTTTTACAGCTTGTGTTTGCTGCCCCTTTTGGATTTCTTTACCTGCAGTTATGTCACAGTTCTAACTCTTAGGTTTATTATACACCTGCTATTCCAGTTAGGCGGATAGCAATGGCTATCCAATGAGTCACCACGCTTTGAAAAGGACCAAACCTTTGAGTATGATTGACCGTTGTCTGTTTACAACTGCATTTTATTTTATTTTGAATAGTCAACATTCTAAACAACAGATGTATGGGGATGATACATTTTATAAATCACCTCATAAGTTAGTTGTCATAATTCACAAGCAAGTGACAGACCTTGGTAGAAGGTAACCATATCAACTTTTCATTATCTTTGCACCCGGTACTTTTGGCAATAATCCACTCCCACTGTTTAAATCTACGCTTCGAGGCAAAAAACATCCCTAGGCAACAGAGGAACTGCAAAGTTTAGTGGCTTGGAACAGCACAGTTTACTATTGTTCGAGATGAATGCATCACTAGTTTCAACTCGGGGCATAAAACATAATTTTAAGTGCCCCAGGCTGTTAGGGTGTCCCACTGCCCGCTCCTTTGCTGTCCCTTTTTGTTTTTACTGGATGTGATCATCCAAGTACCGGGCAGTGTTCACACAACATAAACACTTATCTTTCTCATGGGGCATCTCAACGTTTCACTGTCAGTAAAGTCAGAGATGACACCTCAGAGATTGGACTGATAAATGACAACAATAAGGATGCCTAAAGGAAGGTGGTGAGGGACCTATTAATGGTTGAAAGGATACAACCTATAGATATTAAGAAAACTAAAGAGATAACGTTGATTTTAAGAAGCCCTAAAACGTTCAGCCACCAGTTCGCAATCCGCAACATCCCTATTGCTTTTGAGCAAATATGTCTTATAACTGTATTTATGAGGTCCCAGCTCAGTTTCAGGTCCCAGTATTCAGGCTGAATGTAACTCTGGACTGTGCTGTGGGACTGGCTGCACTGAATGGCTTTTTAAAATGTTAACCAAATGAATGCCTTTAAACACTTGGCTTACTATGAAAGGATACAACTGGGACAGCCATATGCTGAATAAGCCATCCTTTATTCTAAAAGGTAGGCATAATTGGATGTAAAATATGATCGTCATTGGCTGGGATTTGCCGTGTAGGTAATATATGCGTTTGATCAAGACAGAGAGATGCTGATAACTAGGGATGGGTATCGTTTGAAATGTATCGATTCCGATTCCGGTTCTGCTTATCGATTCCGGTTGTTATCGATTCCCCGTTTCGATTCCAAAATTGTAAAAGAAAGAGGTCAAACGTTTAGATAACAAAAATATCTTTATTCTTTTAAGCTTTAACTGACATTTTTACAAATAAAAAATATACATGCAATACAAATGTATTGCACAATAGCTGTGCTTTATTTTAACTGAGCTATGCCTGTGGCAAGCTATTAACAGGCATTACACTGTGCCTAGTCTTTTTCTTTTTTAGTGTAGTGGAGCCTCACTTTAGAGAGTTTACCGCGATCCATCTTTGGTGTTATGAAGTGACTGAGCTTGTGAACTGTCTACGGGAGGGCAGGGGGAGCCTCGCTGCGGGGCAACTGTGGACCTCTGTCGCCTGTCAGCGCAACTTACATGATGCCGTTTAAAAAAATTAAGGGCGGTGCCGGCTGTCAGCGTACCGAGCCGACCGTCAACGGCCCGCTGACGACTGGCCGTTCTGTGATTCTCCAGAACACACAGATGGCCAGTCCGCCCTTACCCTGTATTCCACCGGGTCACCGCGGCGCAGACGGACCTGGTGGAATACAGGGTCTACCGCGTTTAGGAACCGTTAAGCAGAACCTAAATTGTGTATTTTGTATGGGTACCCGGCCGGTACCCGGCATTTTCTTTTCGGTTCTCATCTGGAACCGAGTTTCGGTTCCCAACCCTACTGATAACTCTTTTCAATTATATAAACAGTGGGATTTTGTTCTAAATGTGGCAAACTGTTATGGATGTCTGTTGCTTCATGGATGTAGAACAAAGACAAGAAAGGGTGGATCCAAGTGACTGTATAACTGGATACTGTTCTAAGAGTAAATCTCTAAGAAGCAGCTTGAGAAATCTTTTACCAAAAATGATGTCCATCAGTGACCTTTAAAAAAAAAACGTTCAGTATTTATTTGGTTTATATCTGCTACCAAATAAAATGTATTGTTTTCTTTTTTGTGTTATATATTTCCTTAATCTCCGCAAGCTATTGTCCATTGCAATGTGTGTTCCTGTATTTTTTTTATGCAGAGATGTCTCCACCAGAGATAATGGGTAACCTAATTCATTAATAAGAGTCATTTTATTACATACACGTACAGTTGGATACAGATAAAGGAGTTTCAGTGTGGTTCACTGCTTTTAATTCAAGATAGCTTTCACGTTCCCTGAGTTCCCTTTCTAGACAAAAAGTTCTGACAAGCTAATGAAACGAAATAGCATTGGTTGGTCTCAGCTGTAAAAATTAAATCTATTTTTTGTGCAAGCTCCAAGGCCCCCAACTGGGGATTTCACAGATCATGGGTAACTTTGACTTTGATAATTATTTAATTTCATCTCAGCTGAATGGGCGGTCCTCAGCTGCTAGCTTAGAGTCATACAGTCTGTGTTTGTGTTTGTTTGTCCCAATGCCTCTAGTGTATTAGGGCTTTTCTAGCATATGTGTGTACGTTTCTGTGGCAGAAATAAAAAATAAATAGTTTTCACAAGCAGATCTGATATGGGCATCAAAACATTATCTCAGGTCAGATTTGGAGAACTGATCCAGAAATGATGGCCTTCATTCTCATCAATTCCATTTTGTAATTTACAGATATGGCTAATTGTTCATGTTGTATGGTACTGACATTATATTTGATTATATTTGGTGGAAACATTTTATCCAAAGTGACTTAAAATGATTTCATTTAAACCATATACTGTAGATGCATGACAAGCATATTCATTGTAAACCAATTAGCATGTTCAGTGCCACAATGTAAGCGCTAAGATATTTGTTTCTTTTGTGCCATCAGCTTGCATTCAAGTTGTTCTGTTGCATTGGAAAGCTTTATTCCTTTCCCTTATTTACATAATATCTGTGGCACCAGTCTCTTAGCGTCAGTCTTCAGCTTCATACAAAATGGTACGCAATGCATGCATGCTTGCGGTTCCCCTCAGTCCCAATTGCCATGGGCTGCCGAACACTCCAATTAGCATACGCCATGTCTTAGTCTGTCTTTCTACCAAATCAGTTTGGCATCCGTGTCTGAATTGTTAATAGGATATCGACAGGTGGCAGCTTCAGGCCTCAGTGGGATGAACTCTTCAGTCCCATCCTTTGTGCCACACGGGAGCTACAGATGCACACCAGTAGCCCCATTGCTTAATATTTAATCATCTTTCCATGACACAGATGAATGAAGCACCACTATGGTTGAAAATTAAGTTCTGGAGCTTAGCTGCACTGGTGGCAATTAGTTTTATCCCGTCTTTCTGTTGTTTATTAATTGAGGTGTGAGGATTGCAGGACATTTTATGCATTGATTTTTAAAGGTATGGTTTTTCCTGCAGAGCCGTTTGAAGACACATCCCACGAGTGCACTGCTATTGTTCTAAGCTTTGTCTCTTGAGATGATTGTTGATTAGTTTTGTGGCCAAATTGTCCAAATCCTTGCCTAAGACTTACACGACTTTCTGAAGAGGAACTGTTCTTAGCATAGTTGTAGCTATGTGCCACTTCTACAAGAAGTTCAGATGATATGTGTGATGTGTAGTTTGAAACTGTTTTATACTTGATTAGCCATCAGCGCATGACTTTTTTTTCTATCCTCACATGCTGGAAATCACCAAAACGAAATTGTTGTAAATTTGTATACAGTACAGTCCTGTTATAAGTAGCAGCTTTTTCACCACACCCTTTTTTTCTTTACTTCCCGCAGGATGTTCCGCTTGCGGGCATTGTCCGCAGTTTCGGTGGGGCTAACGCAGTTGACCCGCCGTTACAACAGTGGGGCTGTGCGAGGGTCTGGCCAGAGGAGGCTGAAGCTGGCTGCCCTGGCTGGGGTCACTGGTGTGTCTGCCAGTGCTGGACTGCTCTGGCAAAGGTAAGTCTGAGCCCAGAATTACCTCTGCTGTGCGCTTATGATGAGTAGTACTGGGATAATGATAATTGCCTTCTATTGTCATTTTAAAGAGTATCAATCAAACTTGCTCAGCAACCCCAAACACAGTGTTACTCACAACGTCAAATCACTGGGATTTTATTTTCCATGCTTTCTTTTAGCTGCATTTTGTTCTTGTTTCTTTGACTGGACCATGCTTCTCTTCACACATGACTTCAGGCTTTATCTGGCGTGGAGCCTATTCAACAAGCAATCCTTGATCCACATTGAGTAAACTAGGATTTGCTCGCGGTGCAGTTTTTGATAGGAGTTTTCTTTTTTAGCACATGCCAAAGTCGATTCCCCTCCGGTACACACAAATGTTAGGGAAACCACCCATTGAAATTGCTTACCTGCATTTCTGTTGACATGCCAAGCCACCACCCCAGGAGTGTCACATAATGTTTTTATGGCTATTCATTACTAACGAGGCTTGTTTAGTTAAGGCAAAGCTAGGGAGAGTTTTGACGTTAGAGCTCTATGGGGACAGAATGACTGTGCAAGAGGCGGAGTGATGGATGGGGCCTCAGGGCATTTGAGACTGATGGGACGAGACTGTTCCAGGCCCTCACCCTTCATTCTCGCTGTGTCTCGTTAAACTGAATTATTATGAACCCAAGACAGACTCTGCTATTTATTATTATTATTCCAATTTTCAATTTAGTCTGAAGATGGTCAAGTGGGAGCTTGCCCTGGTAGACCTCTCAGCAAGCAAAACACAACACAGCACAAAATCTCTCTGACTCCCCCAGAATCATAGCTGCAGAACAAAGTCAGCCACACACATCACCAAATCTACTTCAAGAGCAAAACACAAAATGATATTGCAATACATTTGTCTTTGTAAATGACATAGAAATGTCTCCCTTGTATCCTTCTAATTCGTTTTTTTGTTGAAAACTAGAGCAAATAATGAGGCGGGGCCTTCCGTTCAACACTTTGAGCAAACAGCCGGAGAGGGGGTGGATTTCGTGAAGGATGCCGATGCCGAGACGGAGTCGGAGAAATCGGTAGAGGCCAGCAGCGGAGACGAAGAAATAACGGAAGGCGGTGAGGAAAAAAAAAAGAAGCAACGCTCTGGATTCCGTGACCGCAAGGTAATCAATAAATAATCAACATTCAACTGTTCACTTATTCCAGTAGTTAATTCACCTCGAAATGTGTTTTGAAAGCCCTCCCAATCAATGATCAGAATGCAAACGCCAGTATATTTTTTATGGAATATTTTACGAACAAAGGAATCTGCACGCATTGTGCTGTCGTACAGATTTTATTGATGTTAATTAGGTACCAGGTGACAAAGGACAGCCCGAAAAAAAAACAAGGCCCTTTGATATGGTGCGAAATACACAGTGTGTAGTTCTATATATTACCGTTGGAGGACCAGGAAGAAGGAATGAGGAAGAGTTTTGAACTTTGGATGCAAATTTCTCAAAGGAAATGTGATGCAACAGTACATATGGGTGTAGCTGTAACAATTGTGCAATCACTCTTGCCTCAGCAGCAGCCTCAGCCTGCTGAAAGCATATACAGCAGACGTCTAGGGAGCAGAACGTTTTAGTGAATCACAGCACTGCAGGACTCACTAGCGTGTTGGTAAAAATAGCTTGTTTGTTCCAGCTCGCTCAGTACGTACAATAAAGAGTCTCTGTCTAATAAAGTTTGCTGTGTGAAGTTGTGTGCAAATCTTCAAAATGTGCATCTGTTCTTCAAATGTAGATCATTTGTTGTTGAGATTGTGGGTACTTCCATATGTTTTTCTTTATTTTTGTCTGAAAACACTCAAATTACTAAAGTGCAAAATTATGTAGCAAGAGGGAATTTCCACTCAGATTTTCATGTTCAGTGCTTTCCCCTTCTTACTTTGAAAAAGATCTGACACTTGCAGAAAAATCTTTGAGAAACTGTAATAAATAACTGGTGTAAGTTGAAATTCACCCCCTGGTTTTAAATGTGCAATTTTTGTAATGGAGAAGAGATTGCATCAATGGCTGAAAGCTTTAAAACCAGGCTAGAGTCTCCATCAGTGTGGGTGATGCTGCGATCAGTAGCCTGTAAATCTGAGAAGATGAGATGACATCGTATCCTGGGCTTTCTGTCAGCATTTCCACATGACTGTGCCATAACCTCTCATCCATACGCTGATGGTTGCCTCCTCTGAGGGACACACTCTTGGTGATTCCCCCATGGACCAATAAGATCTGCTTAAATGGGGGAACCAACAAAGAGGCACGCAATCATCGCTACAGGCGCGAGAAGAGAATCCTTTTTGATGAAAGTCTGTTTCTCACTCTTTTTCTCATCAAGTTGGAGTGGATAACGGCTTCAAGAAGTTGAAGCTGCGTAACGTATTTTACTTTCTCTACAGTGGAGTTTGTGTGGCATACACAATCATTCAGTGTCACATCAAATAACGGTCTGTGTGGATTAGTGTAGCTCAGCTCGATTCCCAACCCGACACCGCTGTAACAATTTCCCAGTTTTGCTGCATTTGTTGGAAACTTTCTGCTGAAAAGCAAATGGCAGAGTCAAGGCAAACATTGACGTGGCTAATGTGTGTAACAGAGCTGAATGATTTAGTCATTTCCAAAATGTTGGACTCTGGTTTGTCATGCTGTTAGCCTTATGTGTGGTTGTCACAGCTTTGTGTGGCCATGATAGTTCCTGCAGTCTCTTTTGTTAACCTGTCAGTCTCGATGCTGTTGATAACACTATTTCCTGTTTTGATTACGGGATGCTTGAGTCGGGAGGTTAATATACTTACCCCCCCCTCAGTCCATCAACTTGTTTTTCTCTCACCACCTGCTTCTTTATTCTGATCACTTCTTCACCCTCTTAACTCCACTTCAACTCATTTGACTTTCACAGGATTGGATAGCTGGATCTTGATTTGGTTGATGCTGAAGTATGTTAGAGTGGTGCTTCCGCCGTGTGATCATTAATTGTGGTTCCTCTCTGCTTGGCAGGTGATGGAGTATGAGAACAGGATAAGAGCCTACTCAACCCCAGACAAAATATTTCGCTACTTTGCCACGCTGAAGGTCATCGGCGAGCACGGTGATGCTGAGGTTTACATGACGCCGCAGGACTTCATACGCTCCATCACTCCTAACGAGAAGCAGCCTGAGAGTGAGTCTCCTCTCCTTCCTTCTATATGCTTTGCTTAGGCATTATCACTGACTCAATCACATGATACAGATAGTTTCTATGTTCTTAATTACGTTTTTCTTTATCGCTTTTGTGTGTTTTTTAGATTCAGGTACACTTCTTTTTTTGCAATTCTTTATTTAGAAGATAGTTGAGAAAAGTCCACCAGTTACAATGAAATAAACTTGCAGTTACAGGAAGTAATAAAGGTTTGTGATAAGGGAGCAGTTGGAATTGAAATCCTCCCCTCAGGTACATTTTTACAACATATACTTTATGTAGATGTACAATGGCATCGCTACTTTTTTCCACTCTACAAGTAAAGCTAAAAGATCCCCTATTGGAGCCAAAATCTGCACAGTAGTGCTTGGGGAGCTCAACCTTAGTATCTAGGTCCCACCCACACACCTGCACGATCCAATCACAAGCCAAGCAAAACCACAGCTTTTAGCACAAGCCACCTAGTTGCTCTGCTAGCACCACAGTAGCTTTGGCTAGGATATCTCTAAAATACATTTATGTTCAAGTTGACACCTGTTAAAGTACAGACTTGTGATTGTTATAGAGAGTTAAAGTAACAGCTCCTCTCCCTCTCAAGCGTCCAAATTTGGAGCTAATTAATTCAGACACAGTTATCAATCATAACGTCTGGCATCAGATTTATAGCATCAAATAAGTGATTAATACGAAATATTTCATTAAAATCAACACTTGAGTATGTATCAGCTTGACAAGAACCACTATTAAATTACAGAAACTGCATAATATTTTACCTGTACTTTGACTTTTTTGTTAGGCCAATATCGCATTAGCTAACATGGATAGGGCAGGGTATTATGACCTATACTGTAGCCAGCCGCCATGCCTCCATCTTTATATACAGTCTATGGTATGGATTCTTTATCTCATCCGAGATTTGTATCTCAATTACACCCCGACAACCTTTCTGAAATTATATTACACAACATAGCCTCCACCCCATGTTCCATCCATTTTACAGGGACACCACGCTTGGCAGTTCCAGACTCATGGTATAACGATCCCTCTGACTGTGCTTACAAGTATGAAGGGAGGCGTGGAGGGGGGGGCGGGTGACACGGCTGTCCGATCGTGCTGAGTTGAGGGACTTACAGCACAGCAGTTGGTCTATCAATTAACAGGTTCAAACCAGAGCAGATCTCAGGCGTCACACATGGAGCCAGTGAGAGATATTTGATCTCCAGCCATGGGAGGGTTGGAAAGGCAGTGAGCTTAACTTGGCATGGACATGGATCCGCACCACTATCATCATTATCCGGTTAATCAACACTAAAATTATTTAAATTTGTGTGAGATTTATTATATGGCATTATATTAGCCTCCTTCACAAACTTGCGGTTTAATGCACAGTGTGTGAGGATTATTACGTCCAGCACATTCATCCACAGTACATGAGGGAAGCCTGCAGCAGCGCTTAATAAGGACTTAGCAGGGCCTGTCACGTCTGCACTGCCTTTCCTGCTCACCTCAGCACTTCCATCTGTTAACCATGCTCAAGACTTGGCCCAGCTTGGCCCCCATTGGCCTTCCTATCTTAGACCCAGTACTGCTTCCACCCACGTTATGATTCCCCAGTTCTTCCTTTCTCTTATCCTGCCTTTAGCACTACCAAAACACCATTTAAGAGCTCTGTTGGATGACAGAAGGTTCAGTAAAGCAGATGAAAAAGCCAAGAGAAGGTTACTTCATGGGCAGCCACTTTAGTCCCCAACCAAACTGAGGTTAACCAACAAACTCCAAGTAGTTCCAGTCAATTAAAGAAATACAGGGACCTGCAAGATATGAGACAATTTCACATGTCTATTTAACATATCCAAATAACCTCACAAAAAGCAACAAAAAATGATTTGACAACTTTGTGACGGGGCTATACAGTTATTTATATTAAAAAATGTTGACGAATATGGAGACGCAGACTTGCAATAGGAATTTCTAAATAAAGGCGTAACTAAAATATGAGCGGTATCAATGTTTTCCCTGTTTATAGATGATATTGGATCATTGAATCTAATCATATGGATGTAGTATTTTCCCTATAACTTTAGCAGAATTGACTGTGGAACAGTTTGAAATCCTGGATAGACCAGTTTTGTCCTTTCAAATGTGACAGACCTTGTTTACCCAGTATTTAGTCATGAACTGTGGGCTTAAGCTCAGTGATCCAGACCCAGAAATGTGAATCTCCCCTTAGGTGGAGACTTGAAGTTAAAGGATAATTGAATCTGCAGAAAAAGGTGGAAGGCTATTTTCAGAGGTCTTAGGTAATAAGATTTTCTGTATCGCTGATGAAGCCATGTTGAGTTTAATAATGAGATTATACTAACCGTCACCCTCAGTTAAGTCAAGTTAACCTGATTTGATGAGACTGTTTCAGCAGGTCGATGTGCTACCAGTCCTTTAGTGTAATATCAAGAACCACTCTTGGAATATTCTGCTACATTTAAGAGATTATAACCGCTGCTTCACACAAGAGTTTAGAAAACGATCTTTCCAACAATGTTTATTAGTTTGAATTACATTACTTTGGAGTCAGAACTGCAAAATGAATATCTCATGTTTGAAGTTTATTTGATTAGGACTAGTAAACAGTGGTGGAAATTACATTTCATATTCGTCTTGCAGGGAGGGGAATTATATTTAGCCACAAACCGAATTAACGCCTTTTGCAAAAAAATAAATGACAGAAATAACAGTTTGGAAAAAATATACATGCCGAGTGAGGACTACTAATTTCCATCGGAGTCCAATCCACTTTATTTGTATAGCACATAATAAAAACAGAGGGTTTACCAAAGTGCTTCACACCAAACATAACATTATAATAAAATATAATATTACAATAATAGATAAAAGGCACACATAAGAAAAGATAAAAGGATAACAGGCACACATAGGAATTAATACACGGTACATAAAGGCTATGGACAGACAATAAAAGCATACAAATCGATAAAACAGCTCAGACTGACTCGAAAGCGAGGGAAAAGAGGTGGGTCTTTAGGCGGGACTTCAAAGTTTGGAGGGTGGGCGACAATTTGACATGGGGTCGTTCCAGAGCCTGGGGGCTACCGCTGAGAAGGCTCGATCTCCCCTGGTCTTTTTCTTGGTTTTAGGGACTACCAGCCGCAGCTGATCAGCCGACCTCAAAGCCCTTGAGGGGGTGTTCACCTGTAGGAGGTCCGGAGATGTACTGAGGGGCCAGCCCATTAAGCGACTTCAAAACAAACAATAACACAATAAAATGGACAGGAAGCCAGTGGAGGGAAGCCAGAATTGGTGTGATGTGCTCATGCTTGCGTGTTCCTGTAAGCAGCCGAGCCGCAGCATTTTGTACCAGCTGCAGGCGTGCCAGCGAGGTCTTGTTTAGGCCGGCATAAAGTGCATTACAGTAATCTAGACGCGTAGAAACAAAGGCATGAATTACACGCTCAAAGTCTAAAAAGGATAAACCGGTTTAATTTTGGACAGGAGCCTCAAGTGATAAAAACTGGATTTAACCACAGAGTGTATCTGTTTATCTAATTTAAAAGCACTGTCGATTTTGACGCCCAGAGTAGTGACCATGGGTTTTGCATATGGTTGCAGGGAACCCAGGTCAATGGAAGGGACATCACTATTTGGTCCAAACACAATGACCTCCGTTTTGCTCTCATTTATGTTTAAAAAGTTTAGCGCCATCCAGGCCTTTATGTCATTAAGACAGTCAACCAGGGGCATCAGAGAGCTGGTGTTTTTTTTATTTAGGGGTAGGTATATTTGGGAGTCGTCCGTATAAAGGTAGTAGAAGACGCCATGTTTTCTAAAAATTAGTCCAAGGGGGAGAAGGTATAAGGAAAATAAAATGGGCCCCAAAATAGAACCTTGGGGAACTCCACAGGATAGGGGGGCAGAAGACGATGTAAAGTCACCAAGCCTAACAGAGAACGATCTCTGGGACAAATAGGACCAGAACCACTCTAAGGCAGTGCCCCTGATACCCACACAGTGCTCTAGACGAGAGATAAGAATGGAGTGGTCAATCGTATCAAAGGCAGCTGTGAGGTCTAAGAGCATAAGGATGGCAGAGTCACCAGAGTCTGTAGTGACCAGGAGGTCATGAATACTCTTAGAAGGGCAGACTCAGTACTGTGAAGCGCTTTAAAACCGGACTGAAACATATCAAAAATATTGTGTGCATGTATAAAAGACTGCAGCTGTAAGAGTACGGTTTTCTCCAATATTTTTGAGATAAAAGGAAGCTTAGAGATGGGTCTGTAATTTCAGAAGACAGAAGTGTCCAGATTTGTTTTTTTTATCAGGGGTGCCACAACCGCTTGTTTTAAATAAACTGGCACAGAACCGGACTCTAGGCTGCTATTTATAATTGTATGGACATTAGATCCAATAGTGTCCCATATCTCTTTAAAAAGTCGAGGAGGTACTGGGTCTGTGGGACAAGATGAGGGTTTTAATTTAGCAACAAATTTAGTCACTGAGAAATGACAACGACGCAGGTCCAAACTGCTGGAAGACAGCAGTGCATGTGATGTCAATGGAGGGGTCAAAAGAGGGTGGTGAGATACAGGCTCTAATAGTGGAGATCTTGTCTATAAAATAGCAGAGAAATTGTTCACACACCTCAGTTGAAGCTTCAATACAAGTGGATAAAGGAGAGTTTAACATAGCATCAATGGTTTTAAAAAGAACACAAGGTTTGTTTAAGTTACTAGAAATAATATCAGAAAAGTAACTCATCTTTTCAACTCTTTTTTTAAAATGTCATGTGTTACATGAAGCTTGTCCTTCTTCCACCTGCGCTCAGCCTGCCGGCACTCACGCCTGGCAGCACGAGTGACGTCATTAAGCCAGGGATCAGATTTAGCTCTGGGGCGCATGAGTTTCAGGGGAGCAACAATGTCAAGAGCTCCAGTGCCGGTAGAGAGAAAGGCTGAGGTTAATTGCTCAGTGTCCAGGGAGTCAGAGGACATAGCATCAGACTGGGCTAGGTTTACAAATGTGGGGGAGAAACTAGCAGCAGTGGAAGGTTTCATCATACGACCGTGATGGACAGGAGTGCACGATTTAAGACTATGACAGGGCAGAATAAAATCAAATAACACGGGCAGGTGATCTAATAAAGCTGCATCACACACATTGACATTTGAAATGGGCAGACCATGGGATAAGACTAGGTCTAAAGTGTGCCCATGCTCTTGCGTGGGGCCAGATACATGTTGTATGAAGTTAAAAGCATCTACAACATCAAGAAAGTCTTTAGCTAGTGGCTTAGAGATACAACAGACATGCACGCTAAAATCCCCGACAATTAAAATCCATACACTGACATTGTGTTAGCAATGAACCAAACACCTTCATTTCACTTTCTATATGAATATAAACACTGCATACTGAACATCTTGGTATGCTGGTTGAAAACTTTTTCTGATGATAACAAGAGTCAAAGATGAATGCTGATGATTGTTTATTTTAAATGGTATGCAAAGTGGAAATGGATTGTTAATGGCTGTTATTAATCTTGAGCACATGTCAGTGGTTACGACTGATTCAGTAATGACACCAAGTGAATACATTTGATCCGCATCATAAATCTTGATGCTCCTGCTGTGTAACTAGCTGGCTTCACATCTTGTTTGTTCAAATGTTTGACTCAGATTTGTCTAATCTGTACGTCTGCTGATGTTCTCTCTGGTTCTTTTTTTCAGGTCTAGGACTGGATCAGTTCATTGTGAAGCGCTATGATGGAAAGGTAAGAAGTGGGCATCATGTCCTTACAGAAAGAAGACAAAGGGTCACCTTAGCAATAAAAAACGTCAGCAGCAGAGAGTTATTCAAATGATGTCTTAGAAACATTTCAGCCCCTGCTCATAAATTCAGTTTAAAGTAGCTTTGATTTCATAAATATGCTGCAAACTCAATGAGAATTGCATTTCCCCAGAAAGCTGTACTAATAACATCTTTTTGGAGCTTATTTCTTTCCCCAGTTTACTAGAGGGGTTTATTCCCTATATTTACCAAGGTGAATAATTGCTTAAAGAATCAGTTCATCCAAAAATACAAATGAACACAATTCTCCTCACTTACTCCAGATATACATTGTGGTGTTGGCCATGAAGATAATTCCAGTTTTATGTGGCCAAGTTTAAAAATATCTGTTTTCTACACTCCTACAACCCACCCAAAAACAACACAGATGAATACAAATGTGTTTATGCGCCCTAAAGATCTGAACAATTACATTTAAAGAAACGGTAACATCTCTTTGCAAAACAACATTCCACCTTTTATTAACTCTCTGAAAGATTACATATGTTATTGTTTATTAAAGAGTAGTCCCAAGTGAAAGCTCAACATCAGTAAAAATGTGGTCTTTAATTATTATTATTATGTTGTCTAAAGTTTTGTCAGATATAATCCCATAACTCTTAAATATTGATCCTTATTTCATGCAGTTTCTTTTTAAGAAAATGAAGTCCGCACTTGATAATTAGGGTTTATACGTTAGTGCTTTGGTTTTAAATATACATACAAAGAGAATGAATTATAGGTGAGGTTTTGAAAAGTATGGTCCCTATTTAGTCAAGTAGCGAAGAAACACATAGGGAAATGAAGTGGGAATAAATGTCAAAGATAATATCTAAAAATGAATATGTAAACTGGTTTATAAATGGGCATTACTCTATATATTATATACTTCCATATAAGTTAACTAGAGTTGTTTATCAATTATTATGCAGTATCTGTTTTTTGTTTAGTAGGTACATGCATCTTTTGCTAAACATTAGTCCTTTTTAAATGTAATCTTAAATAAAAACAGTGAATAATATCCCTAAAATAATAATAAATCTATGAACAACATATGAAATGCAATATAAATCAAAGATCCGCCACATTCATTCATCCTTCAGCCTGATATGACGTTGAGGAAAAGGATAAATAGAACTGGAATGAGGTATAAATTGAGGTGATAGCTCAATGTCATTGAAATAAACAAATAGTCATCAGGGGCATTGGGGTTGCAGCATTGTGAGAGATGGCATATGGAAAGAGATAGAAAAGCAAATAGAAAACGCCATTACATTCTGTCAGGAGTGGGCGCAGAAATTAATAGAGAAAGATCCAGATGATGCCATCAGAGAAACACAGCTATGAGAATGTTAGCTTGCATTCCTGCATCCACTTTGCATTTCTGTTGATATCTTGCACCCAAGCTGAGATACTCCCATTGCAGGTACAATAGGAGAAACAAATGTGAATGACGGGGTACATGTTTTAAAAAAAGTTGGAGTTTGTTGTTCTTCACAAACCATCCCCTGTATACTTTCTTTTGTTTCTTTCATGCCTTTGATTTAGCTCCTGCTTTGCTGTCTGCTCCTCAACCATCAATTCATATTATTTTCCACTCCCAATAATTGAGACTATAACAAGGTTATCTTTTTCAAATATTGTCTGAGCTCTAAAGGTTCAGAAAAAGATTGAAAGGGTAATGAAGAAATATATTTGTTTCAACCTTTAACTAGTTCTTATAGACCTTCAGTTGGTTACACCTAGTTCAGTGTTGCTCTTTAGCTCCATCTCCACATGTAATCATTAAGAGAGACATGTACAAAGTGGACATGTCCAGTGCATAATGACCTATTTGACCACAGGTTAGCTTTGATCAGGCTAGCCCCCTTATTTGTCCACAGACTGGCCTTACAAGAAGCTCTGCTCTAAATGCTAACACCTCTCTGCTCACAGTCAGGAAAATAGAGACCATCAATTTAAATCACCACAATCATTATTTTCATTACTGCTTTCTTTGGTATTGATTTGTGACAATTACTGCCCTCTCGATGATCCCAAAGAGCATCTCTCACCCCCAGTTGCCAAACACCTCCATTCATTTAGTAATAGCTAATCAACAGTGATGATTGTAGATTCTAACCTCATTAGGACATCCATCAGCCTCCAGGCTGCTATGATGATGAGTTATTCTGTATCTCATCTCCATTCTCTATGCAGATAAACCACACAAGTCACGCAGCGTGGCTAAAGACTCTATCACCACGTTCCTCCTGCTGCAACTCGAACGTGATTTTTATACTCCTTACGTTTTCTTCAAAGTTCCCAGAGTTTTGATTTGAATATCTCTACAGCATATCAACCCAAAGGCTATAGGGATATACATTAATCCAAAGAAAATACAACATTCTGCAGCGACCTAAAATCAAAATGCAACACTCTTTTATGGCTCTTGTCTGCTTATGTAAATGTGTTGCTTATCTCCACTTCTTACGTTTGCTTATTTGCCATGCAAATCTCTAGATCTTCAACTGAGGGTCCGTGACTCTTCCAGGACAGATTCCAGTAATATGAATCTACAGTATTATTAGCAAAGATAAATAGCTATTTCCGTAAAACAACAAACTGTCACATTACATTGAAGAATCATAAAAAGTAATTTTTTACATGGCTCTTTAATGGCAACTCAATTTTATACATACGCAGGAGTCTGAAGGTCACTGATCCGTCCCTCTTTTAGCCGAGGGGTCGTTAGCCTGAACAGTTTTGAAGACCCCCACTCTACACACATGGTTTTCTCTGATACTGTATTTATCTTTTTATTGTCCCCTGAGATCTTCCTGCCATGGCCGGAGATACCCGAGAACCCCCCCCCCCCCCCCCCCTCCCCCTCTGGCTCGGCCCAACCCCCTTTGGGCCCACAGACACGCATGCCACCTCCCCATTGCCTTTATAGCCCCCCCTTAGCTAGTTGGCGGAGGAATAAACCATTACTGTTTCCTGCCATGAAATCCAGTTCACATGAAACATGGAGATGAAATGGCCAACCCAGGTACAGTGGTGCAATATCTGAAGTGTGTAAATCAGGAAGTTGATGGAGGGTGTGGTGAAGTACAAAGGGAGTGTTTCAGCTGGGGGTTGGGTGATAAACGGCAATGAAGTCTAAGGTCGATGGCAGAGAGGTGTACAGCAGTGTGTGAGAGTAACATGAGAGCTCTATTAAAGGAGCCCTGTGTCTCCTTCCCATAGTTTTATATAAAAATAGCCAGGCCAACTCAAAGATGTGTCACATACGTACAGTTTAGCCACAGCTAAGAGGAAGGAGTGTTTCATGGTGGTATACACCTCTCATGTTTTCCTATCCCCGCCCCCTCATGCTGACACTCTTTTGTTCCAGGTTCCTTCTGTATGTAAACAATACAATAGGGTTGTTTTACAACCGCTGTCCATATTGACCCACCCTGTTTGTTTTGCTTTTATTTTCCTGTCCATATGCACACAGTCATTTGAGAGGTCTTTAAATGTTTGTTTGTGTTTTCATTACACCATGGTCCCTTCCCCGATAATGTTGGCATGCTTACTGCTGCCGTAATCTAATGTTGATGTGACCTGACGTTACCATTGTTAACTGCTGATGATTCTATCGTGCTCTTATCAGCCATCCTCGCTCATTCACGTAACGAGTAATCCCTCCATTTTCTCTCTCCTCCCTTCCTCGTGAATAAAAATCATCCTCAACTCCCCTTCTCCCAAACTCCCTACTTTTTCTCTGTCTCCTCCCCCCATCATCCCATTTACTGACCCCCATTGTCCACCCATAAACTCCCCATCCCTCCTCCTTCTCCTCCTCTCCTCTTTTGTCTCCCTTCCTCTCTCCTCATCTACTTCCCGTTCTGCCCCTCCCTCTCTGCAGGACTTCTGGCAGGTATGGGGTGTGTGCCGAGCAGCATGTGTGCACCTGAATGAAAAAACTGCACTTTGTATTCTCTACCAACTCCCTCCTTCTCATTTTTCCTCCTCTTCTGTCTAGTTTTCTATCTTTCTATTACTCACTCTCTCACTGCTCTGTAGTAACACGGGGGGCACAGCTATTCATTGTTGTTAGTCCAGGGGAACAGCTAAATAAGTCGTTTTTCTGCATTTACCCCATCTCAGCTTCAGCAAGTGTGAACCCAGAGACACAGCCTCAGTTAGGTTTATGACCACTGTGTATAGGCCAGCAGACAAACTGTGCATTACAGTGTATCATTTTCAACAAGAAATTGGTACACTGGGGATAAAATGTTGAATCATCTTCCAGCTTTTCTCTCACCGGGTTTATATTCTGTAGGTGTCATACACAGCCTTGTAGGGGAAGTCATAGTGTGAGGATAGAAGTAGAATAAGAAGAATAAAGCACCACCACCTTACAAGGACACTTAAATCACTTATTTCACTTCCATAAATGTGTATGAGTTGGTTCATTTGAGCATATTGTTCCCAATTATGCTTATTGTTTCCAATTTTGCTCCAAAACTGTTTCACCAGAAACCACTGGGGAACTTTTTTGTGATTCAAATGCTTCTCATGTACACATTTATGTTGGTACGTGTGAATAAATGAGCCTTGACCTATTAGCTTATCTCCTAAATGATTTGGCTTTTCAGCAGGTCTGAATGTCTCAGTCAGGGTAATGCAAAGATCATCCAAAGGCAGCAAAGGGCAGGTTACAACCTGTGCACCTGATAATGACAGGGAGTGTCAGACACCAGAGTAGGCACGCACCCTATTGTGTGTGCTCTAGTATGCAAACTCTGTATTATTATTGAACATTGTGTTAGAGACCTCCCTGTTGACCTTTGTATAGCTTGTCAGAGGCAGCTGCGTGCCAGGCCATCCCTGCTGAATTATTGAAAGTGAAGACTTTATGCTTTGCCTCTACAGGGATTATTAAAATGCAGCCCTGCTGCATAATTCATAATTAGTCAGTGCCCCTAAGGAAAATTTAAAGGATTTTTTTTGAGAAACATCAAGCCTTGCAAAGCTGAGATGAAAAGAGCAGCTAAGATTTATAAGGAGCCTGTATTGGTCAATGCCAAATCCTAGCAGTGCTGTTCCCCTGCACTCCCTCTGTCTTGCTTTATAAACACACCTTTTCTTCCTTCATCCCTTTGAAGAAATACAAGCTCTAGCTTTCGACATGCTTTGGCACTGTAGCCTTTTTCCCAGCATGCACTGCTCTATTGCCTTTGCCTGTGTCTCACAGAGAAGTAGCTGGTGGTGGCGCCCCCTCTCTGCGCATGGTGGCCTCACAGGGTGGTTTTTTGGACCCAGGAAATGGCTCTGACTGTTAGCTAACATCGAGGCTGTATTGATGTGCTTGACAAGCCTTCACAAATCCATCCTCTGGATTGTCCAGATGTCAGTGCTGCATGATATTTGTAGAGCATGGTTTAGAGTCACTGAAGGCAGGAAGTACATTTAAAAGGTATCCAAACTGTTCCTACATGCTGTGGCCCGTTTAAGCGTCTGCAGCGTGACCAGCTTCGACTGAGAGCCGACACCTGTCACTCAGAGGGAGTGCAGAGGCGGGGCTGCTCCAATGCAAAGGAGCCTCTTGTCACACCAACTGTTGTCGTGTTTCCTCTTTCTGATTTCACAGGAAGCTCCCAGGGGCCGCTGTTTGGAATGTCACTCCTCTATTTCTTTGTCTTTTTCGCACTGTCCTCGATTCTCTCATGCTCTCTTTGCCTTTTCTGTCAATGTTTACCTCTATAGAGTGGCGAAGTCCCTCCCCTTCCGGTGGACCTCCATGGGACCTTATTTCGGAAAAATTATGTATTGAAGTCAATGGAGAGAGAAAGATTATCTTTCGATCCCGTTTGAATTGTGCCACGAATTACACATATGATGTTTGTCAATTTAAAAGATAATTTTGCAAGTCAAAAAAAAAAAAATGTGTCGTAAAACTGTGAAGTAACACATTTGTTTGTGTGAAACGCTCAATGAACTACATCTCTGGTCAACACCACACGTCACCAAGATGGCCGTCACTACTGTCTTGTCAACAAAACGATTGACTACCCTCACTATCACCACAATGAAACACGTCCTGAAGAATGTCATGCAAAGCTGCCTGCCTGCCTTCCTTTGATTCTCTCTGAACTGCCTGGTCGTTTTAATGTTTAATGTCAACCATTTGTGCAGATAGCATGAAGTAGAGAAGATCGCAGGTGCTAACGTTAGCGTTAGCATTTCTCCCCCGGGCTTAAATGGTGTATTATAGAATGATCACACCGGTGACAGTACTATTCAAAGGGTTCACGAAATATGACTACTACTCTTACGGACCGTCTCCACAGCAGCGTTAAAAAAATCTTGGAGGTGGGCGTATCTGAGGCTTGGGGATTTTTTTGCGATCAACCAATCACATGAATCTCCCGCCCGCGACATACGAAGCCAAAAAGCCCGAAGTAAACTGGATATAAACTCCCCAAAACAGGCGAAAACATACCACTGTCTCTGCCACCTCCCTCCATGCCTGGCTCCTCCGGTTTATATCCCGGTAGGTCTGGTCATAAAGCACCGGGTGATTGATTCGCTACCGCTAATTTCTCCTCCATTTTTTGGAATATGAGGAAATGACCTGCGGTATGTCTCTCCCAGCATACACGCCGTTTGATTGGCTAGAGCTTGAACTGCCAGATTTGCGTACACGGGATTTGATTGGCTGCCGCTTCCACCTCAGCTTCAAAAGTTGAACATTGTTCAACTTTGAATCTTGAAAATCCTGAGAATCTCTGCTCGCCTGCCCACAATGCATTTCGGCGAAAAGTGAGGGAAAGTGACGTCACCCCATTAAAAGTGAATGGGCAGAAGCGTTTCAAGATTTTTTTAACGCTGCTGTGGAGACGGCCCGTTACTGTTTAACATTTTGGGTTACTTAATATTACTTCATGTTAAGGCTAATACAAATGACAAGGCTGTAATGCTAACTAACATGCTAGCTACTAGCTAGGTAGCTAACTTGATCAAGCCACTCCTGGTCCTTTCATCAGACGGGAAGCAAAAGAACGAGCAAGACCCATTGCTGGTATAATAACAACCTGGTACTAAGCACACAGGCATCTTGTTAAAGTTATCTTATTTTAGCCAGCGCCATATAGATAGATTATATCTATATTGCGCTGATCTTCGGTATCTGAATGGTGGAGGAAAACAATTGTGACATCACTTACGTGACTCTGGGATTTGTAGTCTTTCTAGTTACGTATTTTTCATAGTCTTATATTTCAACAGTTTTACGACAAACTGACTTTTTTGACATGGAAATTATTTTTTAAGATTGACAAACATCATATGTGTAATTCATGGCACAATTCAAACGGGATCGAAAGATAAGTTTTCTCTCCCCATTGACTTCAATGCATAATTTTTCCGAAATAAGGTCCCATTACCCGGAAGTAGGTGGGCGTGACTTCGCCACTCTATGAAAGCTAACACCCACAAACACAGTGACGCACACAACACATTTCTCTCTTTTTCCAATCTCCTAATCTACAGTAAAAGAGGTTGGGTTGTCCTTACACCCCGTCAGGTAATTTGTTTCCTCCACTCCCATTGTGAGACAGATGCCATTCCTCTGTGACTGAAATTTGTTTATGGAGCGCTCCACATCAGCTTCTATTATTCTCATTTGCGCTCCCGGAATAATTAGGAGTTATTAACAGTACACCTGTTCTGCGGTTACCTGAGGGATTAGAGGTAAAAAAGCTACTAACACATCAGTATTCTTTGAACTTGCACACCCACCTTCATAAAATTGATATTTTTCTATATGTGTTCTGTAGTGTTCAAGGCAGAGCAGGAGGTATTATAGAACCATGTAGTGAGTCTGTTTTTTCTTTGGGGCTTGGATGGATACTGTGTTATACTTGTATGTGTAGCAGTGTGAATTTACACACTGTGAGAGCTTTCCGACACTGTTCAAAAATGTCAGACGCAGACCTGGGCTGACTTCAGCCTCTAGCAGGTCATTCCCTTTCCCCTGAAAACCCTCATCTTTTATTGAGCCTGTCAAAGTGTCAGTAACCCCAGAGCTGCCCCATCACACAAAGTGACATCAAGGTTCTGATCCATTTTGAATGCATTTGTCCCCTCTTTCACTCACTCTATGCCGTCTGTCTTTCACACTGTACACATCTCTCTCTTTTCAAATCAGTATAATCCCACTGCTGTAGCGCTCCAGTACACCAAGTTCCACCGAGACTCACCTGTACAAAAGATGAGAGGTCGCTAGGGAACGAGCATCACTCAAGCCGACACTCACCACACACATGATTTGCTCCCTCTACAGCTTGAGCTTTTCATCTGTAGTGGCATGACTCAGCCCAGACTCATAAATGCATCTCTTTGTTGTGGCACTCTTGAGGAGACTAGCAGACAGCATTATGACATTATCTTAAAAAGTGTGATCATTAATATTTTAAAGCTTTAAGACAAAACATGTGGCTTATATCCTTTTTCTTGCATCATCCACTTCCCTCTTTTCCCTTTCTCTTGTTATCGGGGTGTCCGCAGCTGCAGTGTTGGACAGGGTCACAGATCTAATCAATAACAAAGCACTGCAGCCGCTACAGTGGTATTAGAGATGGCCAAGTCTGAGCTGCCATCAGCTCCTAAACCAAGTGCACAGCCACACAATGTGCTGGAGCAGCATATCAGAAGGGAAGCTAGCAGAAAATGGATGGGTGGAACATAATATATTTTAAGTGTCAATGTTAAAAGATTGCAGGATAATGTGTTGAATTATGCCTCATCTCCATCACAGTCACATCAACAGTATCAGAATGCTTTATTTTGTCCCGGGGGAAATTGGGTTTCATGACAGTTGCTCCATTTTTACAGTGAAATGAAAACAACAGCTGCCAGAATTATTTTATTAAGAGATGATAATTATGCCCATTGTCAGAAATGCCTGCCTGCCTTCTCATCAGCACAGCTTTGATATAACTGAAGCCAACAATACGATGAGGTTAATTTGATCTTTTTAAGTTGTTTGCATAATATATTTGGAGATCTTTCTTTTTAAAGCTTTGATCATTTGTTGATTCAGTCAGAGATAGTTTGTATAAATTGTGGCTATATAAATGTTAAAGCATATAATTCCTCAGTTTTTTATTCTACAGTTAATTATAAATACTCCAACAGCTTCTTATGCAATCCAAGTTTTTCATGGTGTGCTTAGAAAGTGTTTCTAAGGCACTCTGTGAAATGAGCAGAAGGTTATGCAGCCTCTTTGTATGCTTGCCTCTGGCTTTGCCTTACATGTACAGTATGGGTCTCATTTGTTGGACTCTCTTTGCCTGCGCTAGTTTAAATCTGGCAATGGCCGCTTCTGGGCTGCTCCATTGCCTGGTGCTCTGGAGAGATAAGCCCTGACCAAACCCTTAACCCCGTCTGTGTGTATATGACTACATTAGACCACCTCCTCCAACCAGCAGCTCTGTCAGGACTGATGCTTCTGCCTCAGCTCACAGGCTATGTGTGTTGTTCAGCCAATCATCTGGACACAGCCCGTGGACTTTGCCATAGCGTGGCTAACACGTGCAAAGATGTGTGAACACATAGGCAGGCTCAAGGCAGAAAAAAAAAAATATATATACATATTCAGCTATGAAGCTGACACTTATCACGAGACGAGACACACTGACAGACGTAGCGTTAGCTTTTAATTAACTTGAGTGCTGCGGCAGAAAGATTTACAGTCATTGGAAGATCAGTGCTTTGGAAAAAATCTAAGATGGGTGTTAAATGAGTGACTCCAATGAAGTTGAGATCCTGTTAGTGATTGCAGCCACATATTTTATAGGCCTAATGTCCTTTGTGTAGATCAATCAAAACTGATGAAAGACTAAACTAATGAGACACATTCTTGGCAATCAAGTGAGCTAATAGGTCTCTCTTGTAGGTAAAATGTATTTTTACCATTCATCTGAATAATATATGCGTGTGTGTGCCATTGAGTGGCTTGTTGCTGGAGCACCCAACTGCAGTAGAAAGCTGAGGCCTGAATTGTTGACAGAATGATGAAGGGTGACAGGAAAGCTTGGTCGTGGTTTAAAAGCCACAAAAGCCAAGGTGACACCCACAGCACAGTGATATACACACAGCCATCCCTCTGTGGCTGTCTGAGAGAGTGCGCTATTGTTACATCATACGTTTGTGGGAGAGATTCACAGTATGGTAGCACAGAGAAGGCAACAGAGGGAAATCTATAAGCAGGTAGCTCTGTGGATGCAGTGGGAACCTATCTTCTGACAGGGACACACTGCATTAGGGTAGACTAAAAAGATCAGTGCTTGTATGCTATTTAGTATGCCCATACAGATCTCTTCCTCCTTCAGCTGAACATGCATGGCTCCTGTCTTTGGCAATTATATTTGGATTGGATTCCTTGAATATCATTTTGGCAATTCTGCGGGGGTGTATTTTGTCCTTGAGTCAGGACGCCGAGAGAGAAGCATTTTTTTTAATTATTACGCCTAATGTGCTTTGTTCCTCTGTTCTGATCATTATAATGATTCCCAGTGTGTTTATACATCTTGTGTGTCCTTGCGTGGGCCTGAGTATTTGTGAGCCCATTAAAGTACACACTTCTGCTGTTGTGTGTCTTTTTTTGTGGACAGGCATTACGGTTCCAACTCACCTCAGGGCTCTCTCGGGTTGTCATTGTTCCAAACTCAGAGACCAATACCAACCTCTTTTACTCACTTTTTTTCTTTTTCTTTCTATATGTACACACTTGTCCCTCTTTAGTGTTCTCTCACACTTACACACATGCAAACACCTGAATGCTTATTGCACCAAGAATGAAAATGTTGCCTTGAGTTATCTCTCTGTGTCTGTCTTTGTCTCTAAACCAGTAGCACTGTTCCAAAAATAACGTTTGTTTTTCTTTATGTCACCTCCCCCTTATCTCTCCCACTCCCTGCTCCCCTTACACTCTAAATGTATATGCCATCAATAATTAATGTTACAGTAGAAACCACTATTTGCAATATTTGCATCACTGACATGTAAAAGATAGACACGGATTGGGGACATATCATGAGGATGGAGTGGGTTAATGGGGAAATAATGAACTTGTTATGCTATGAATGAGGATGCCACTCAAATATTAGTATTCAGATATGTTTTTTTTCCAGTTAATAAAAGCCTATATTTTAAAAGCAATACTATGGGACTTGATTTGCCATGTGCACTCAGCAGACAGCTCCCAGACAATAAATGCTTGTTATAACAGCCTTGTTAGTAAAGCTGCATCAATCTTACAGACTGCAGAGACAGCTTGACGTATTTGAATCCTTAATTTGAGTGGTATCCCACCATTATGTTGTTTTGAGCGAGATGCTTTCTGTGGGTGTGTCTGTGTGCAACTATAAGAATGCTTGTCTCTGTCGTTGAAGGCCCTGCTAAAGACAGCAGAGGCCACGCCGTTCTCTAACAGTTGTTTCTCCTCCTCCTTCCTCCTCCTCTGAATGGACCTCTTACAGACGGAGGTAACTCCACATGGGTTCAGCGCGGCCCAGCCCCCCCCTCCCCGTCCCCAGGCATGCTCTGTGCGTCTGTCCACTCTGTTTGATGGAGCGTCCTGCGGGCGCTGTCTTTCCTAGTCTCTTTCACTGAGCGTGTAGTGTGCATGTGGTTAAGTCAATCTTTCATACAATGCTGTGAATATACACATGCTAACAGAAAAACGTTAATTTATGTGCGTTTGTTTATATATATATATATATCTGTGTGTGTGTGTGTGTGTGAAAGAGAGAAGTCACTTTGTTTTTAATGATTAATACATTTGGGTTGTGTTTCACGTGTGGTTAATCAATAGTGTGTGTTTGTGCTACAGTCTCTCGTGTTTTTCTTCTCTTTGTCAATTTCACTCTGTGAGTACGGCCTTTGGTGGATATCGTGTTTTGTACTTGAACTGACCACCGACTAATTGCTTGTTACTACCACCCTCACTTGCCTGTACGGCTACATGTGTATGCAGCATTTGCATGACTGTTATCGTGATAAACCGTCTAAGCATAACCATCCTTATGCAACAGGAGTATTTTTGTGTGTGTAAGTACAGTATGTGTGTCCGTTTCTGTGTTTAGAGCATAGCCAGTCTCTGATTGAGCTTCCCTGTCAGACACACAGACACTTGCTTGCACACACACAAAGCAACACCTGGGACAGCTGCAAAAGCTGTAAGGCTTGTGCTGAATCATGGCAAATGTTTTAATATAACTTCTTCCTCTTTTTGCGGTGACCCAAATGAGCAGAAGATCGCCCAGGAGAGGGAGAAGTTTGCAGACGAGGACAGCATATTTTTCTCATTGGGAGAATGTGGCCTTATCTCCTTCTCTGACTACATCTTCCTCACCACCGTGCTGTCCAGTAAGTACATCGTTGAACTGACTGCAAAAAATACAATGTTTCTTATATGACAAGTCCAATTTAAAACCACACATTTCAAATCCTACTCACAGATCACAAATCAAATTTAAAGGAGAAGGTAAGACAGAAATTGATAGCCAGAGAAATGATCCAATAGGATATTATTAGACAGTTCACTAGGATTTCCAGTTCTGTCAAAGTTAATAATGTTTGTCTACCGAGCAAGCCTCCCTGAAGACGTTTCACAGAATTGGTTTATTTTAGCTTGATCTAGCATTGGTGGTTAATACACAGGGTGAATTTAGAATGAAAAACTCCCTTATTATCCCTTATGCCTCCTAAACTCACATCCCCAGCTTAGCTCGACCATTTATTATAATCCGTTCCTATGGAGAAAGTCCTGGGGGATGTTTTCAAGGGCAAGTCATCGTTAAGCAGATAGGGCAGCATGCCTTATGTTGGTGTGAATCCATTTATTACGGCCACAAAAATAGTACAAAGTAGGATATATTTTGCCTTGCCATGCCTTATATAAATGTGTACTTTTGTTATACATTGTGCATCTTTTTCAGATAAGGTTTGATCTTTAATCTTTAATGTTTCCCTTAAAGGAAGTCGGGTTGTTAAAGATAGAAATTGTTTATTGTAGTACACAGAGTTCATTTCATTTGATAAATAGAGGGAAATCATCAGATAAACAGTGTAGGTTTTATAGCCACGGTTCACCATACCACCGTCACTGTCCAAAAACGGGAAGTGTTACGAAGAAACTGTAGATACTAGCAGCAATGGGTGAGACCTTTATAGAAAGAGTTAATGAAGTAAACAAAATGAATGGTGTGAACATGTTCCCAAAAAATGGCATGAATGGTTCGATACAATACCTACGCAGCCTCCATGTTTTTATTACCTCCATAAGTTTAGGCAAAACTCGAGCACTATTCTTTTCCTGTGTGTGCCGTACATTTTTTTTCTTTATTAACACAAATTATCGAACCCAGAGGGAGATACAATTTAGTAAAAACTAGGCTTATAGGGAATACATCCTAATGCTGGTGGTGTCGTTATTCCACAGCCATTATATTGTGCACCCAACATTTACTTTAAAATGCTACGTTAAAGCATTAAATGTGTCTATTGCCACTTAATATATAATATGTAAATGTGTAGCCAATATATCTACTATGCAAAGTGTGCATTGCATATACAATAAGTATTCTACAGAAGGCCATATGTTGCTTATGTAGGAACCCAGATTGTATCATAAAGGAAGAAAATGGCCATATGTTGACATTTATTACAGGCGCTAAAAGACAGATTGTGGCTAAAACTCTTAATGGAGGAACCGATTGTTCAACCGTTTCCATTTTTGCCTTCTCTGTCATTATCAGACTGTGAACTGAGCCTTGTTATCCCGCTGTACCAAAAACAAATTTCACGGTGTCTGGTTGCGTGATCATTAAAGGGATGTGAGCGTTAGTAGCAGAAGTACAGTTAACTCCATTTTCAAGGGGTACACTTAACACATTGGAAGAAACAGTGTACCAAATTGAAATTCAAACATCATTAATGCAAATGTTGTTTTACAGATAAGCTCGTACATACAGCCCAGGGTCTGAGAAGTAATTATTGTGCAGTCCGATTTCATGTTGCACCACTGTGGGGTGAAGATGACAGCTGGGTTGATCCGGTGTGACGTGTCGTTTCCATAATGTGCAGTATTGATTTCAGAATGTGCTTTTGTGTCCAGCTCCCCAGAGGAACTTTGAGATTGCATTCAAGATGTTTGATCTGAACGGGGATGGAGAGGTGGATCTGGAGGAGTTTGAACAGGTAAGAATGACGGGCAGCAGCAGACAAACAGCATCCACGCACAAAATCAACATAATGAAGGAGACACAAGGTTAAAACAACCAGCCCACACACTTGGACTTTGCTGCATCCACAGAACGACTGATTGCATTACAGTAACCGGTAACACACACTGACAGCACTAAAGCTAGGTAGATGTGCAGCACTCTGACATTTTCTGTAAGGGAAAAAGATAAGTGCTGTGCGGCGCACTCTGCGGTGTATCATTATCTCTACCACTGAAGCTGATGGGGTTTATGATGTACAGTGTTATTCAGAGAGAGGTTTTTTTAGGTTAAACCTCACAATGTAAGACAATAATTGAAAGTCCTTTTTGTATATAACTGAAGTACCCACGTAAAATGCTCTGTATTTTAAATGAAGTAAATCTCACACACAGTTTTGTTGTTGTTTACAGCAATAGGAAAACTGCCCACGATTGTCCTAGTACATCATTTTATAAATGGTTTGAATACGACTAGCTTCAGGAAACAAAACAATAGTTGCTGAGAGGCTGAGGTCGGGCCTGGAGCGCTATCAAATGATTTGCTGAGGTCAAAACATGTGTGAAAAATATGTAATTTAATGAAAAAAGAGATGATAAACAAAAAAATATATATACTTCGTCCATCTTACCCTCTCTTCTACACATACCTCACACAGATGAACAGGTGTTTATATTTACCATGAGTGCTGAGCCAACAAACCCACACAAAATAATAGATAACTATATAAGACCAATGCCGAAATATAAACAATGAAAAACCTTGTTCAATTTACAACAGAAATAACTACCTTTCTGTCATTTTATGCATTTCAACCCCTCTAGAAAGTCACAAGTACTACTGAAACCTAGTCTTCACTGTAATCCTGGTTAACATGATGGGACCTCTTCCATCCTTAGGTCCAGAGCATCATCCGGTCCCAGACCAGTATGGGCATGCGACACCGCGACCGCTCTACCACAGGAAACACGCTGAAGACGGCCGGCTGCAGCTCTGCTCTCACCACGTACTTCTTTGGAGTAGACCTGAAGGGAAAGCTCACCATCGGCAGCTTCCTGGAGTTTCAGAGGAAACTTCAGCACGACGTGCTCAAACTAGAGGTAAGGAGAGAGGAAAGTGAATGAGTGAGGAAAGATAGTAGTATACTGAGAGATTTAATTAACTGCTTTACAGTACTTTAGTGTAGAGTTGTATTTAATTAATTTAAATGTTATGGCTCTCCTAAATCTCAGCCTCTGCTATTCAGGGACTACCCATAAAAAGTAACAACATACTCAGAGGAAATATTTCTGAAATTGGTACATCGAGTCCCTCTGTAAATATTCAAATAAACCAAAACATGTGGGGGGGAGAGGTTATTGATGTAAATGTTATGCATATAATACAACAAAAAAGCCCAGAGGATGACAGAGCTCTGTGTGTTGTCTGGTCAGTGTCACTCTCTCAAACTGTGACGGTTCAGTATAACAATCTACCCCCATCCTGCCTCTACTGTAACAGCAACCCATCAGTGTTGTTGAGCATATGGTTTTTCTAATCTCTTTAATTAGCGTGGGTAGTTCCTATGATACACTGAACCATAAATGGGTGCCATCATCTGACGCTCTAACAATAGGCCAGGAGTCTAAAAAGCATCTGCCAGATGGAAGTGCTATCTGTCAGTTCGTAATGACGGCACGATGCTCAGAGAGGAAAATCATAACACCAGAGATAAAGTTGACATCAACATGGGTAATCCAATTCCTGTCTTACTCTGACACGCTGCCTTCCCCCCCCTCTCTGTCTCTATTTGCTGAGCCTGCAGCTCACACTAGGCCATATTTCGCCAGCTGTTGCGGTTTTTCTTTTGCAGGGTTTTCAATTTCTCTTATTCTTATGAAATCCCTTGTTTAAAGCCTGATCTCGTGTCAGTCAGAGTAAAATGAATACAGTTATCAAACGCAGGGAAACACAATCGCTGTCTTATCAGGCTTGTATGCATAAAAACAGGAATGTCAGAATAACTAGAGCTAATGTCCTTAAAGGGCAGCTTTGCTATTTTTCAACCTGACCATTAATTTACCATGTTTTTAGGTTCACAATGACACGCTTTTTTTTTTAAATAGGTCCAGTATTGAGGGAAAAAGAGATGGAGATCAGATTATTGTTTAAGTGTCAGACAACATTATGGCGTAAATGACGTAGAAATAAATCGTTTTACTTAACCTTTCCCTTGGTCCAGTCCGTTAGTCTTTCTCAGAGAAGTCTGTGGCCGTTTCTCAATCGCGAGGATATTGGCTTCCAAGCCAATATTTCAAGGATGCTACGTCATCGAGTGCCGCCGAAGGACTGTTCCAATCTCCAGCATACTTGGAATTCCACCGAGGCCGCGTCCTTGGTTTGGGGGAAATTTCGAGGCTGCACATGGGTAGACTTCGCGTCCTTAAAATCCCCACAATGCTTTGCGCATGGACCAATTTCCCCAAATCTGTGGCGGAAGATGTAAGGCGGGGCCTCTCATATGACACACACCTGCACACTTGCTAGCCTGTTCCACTCTTTGTTTTCCGAATGCCAGGAAGTATTCTTGCCTTGCTTCTGAAGCAAGATGCTCGGCTCGGCTGTGCCACCAAGCAAGCATCCTCGCGATTGAGAAACGGCCTGTGTTCTGAAATCTTGCGTTACATTTACATTTACATTTTCATAATTGGTTTAAGATTCAACCATCACATTTTAAATATCATGAAGTTATGATTTCTGTACTCCAATACAACAAACTATGACAACATCTGCATTCAGGTTTCCACTGATCTACTGACAACAGGTTAGATGACACAATAACAGACCAACTGGATGAAGCGTTAAGGAATGTGAAACATCATTATTTTCTGGAGGGTCCTTTCTATAATGTGGTCGGACACATGTTATAACAATCTGAGCGGCAAAAAGAAAAAAGTGGCAAAAACAAGCACTTTTAGTTGACATGCATCAAAGGTGCGGAAGTGCCCGATATGATTAGATTTCAGCCTGTTAAGCAGCTGCCATGTGATTCAGTCTCCCTCAATACTGGACTGATTTCCAAAATGGTTGTTCCCATTACTCCCTTAGAAACAAAACACATGGGTTAAATAGGCTCCAGGTTGAAAAAAACTAAAGTTACCGTTAAAGTGTGTCCTGCCGAGTCGATTTTGGCAGCAGAAGGCAGCTGTTATTAGGGAGAGAAAGAACTGTACGTTACCTGCTCATCACCACATTTAATGGGACTTAACCTCAGATCGAGGTAGATCCTCTGGGAGCTTAAATGGGCAGGTCCCCTCTGAAATCTGCACTCCAGGCTTATTTTTGGCTTAGTTATGAGCAGCCTCAAGTGCGACAAATTAACATTTTAAGAGGTCGGCACGTTCCAGAGAGAAAGGGGGGAGGCAGCTGCGTAGCTGTCGAATAGCCTCAGATATAAATCCACTGGATTGACCTGACAAAGCCGAGACTCACAGCTCCGCTCCACTGGAAAATTGTAAAATAATGCACATGCAGATTTTATGTCACCAACACCAGCTTCAGGCATGATTCAACTAGAAGCCTGACAGCAGTATTTACTGTTTCCCATCTCCCCATGCACTCCTTCTATTAATTTGTTTGTTCCTCTGCACAGCACTCAGTCTTCATCTGTCTCTCTCTCCCTTTTTTCAGTTCGAGAGGAATGATCCTGTGAAAGGCAAAATCAGCGAGAGACAGTTTGGGGGCATGCTGCTGGCATACAGCGGCGTCCAGTCCCGTAAACTCAAGCAGATGCAGAAGGGCTTGAAGAAGATGTTTAAGGATGCACAGGTAGATACATCAGAGTGTACTTATTCACACTTTCGTGGAATCCAGAGAAAAGTGATTGGTACTCTGAAGTTATATATAGTGCTGGGGAGGGTTTTAAGTAATTTGCTAAAGGCTAGGAAGCGTGACAGAGCAGTGTGCCTGAGGGAAGAGGAGATTGTGCGAGGGTGTGAGGGAGACTGGGTGAGAGGTAATACATCACCGGGGGAGGACGGCACATTCTGACGTTATCCACCTGACCGACACTTACTCTTTCCCACTCTTCTACTTTCCACTATCTGTGTGTGGTGACCAAACAGAGCAGCCAGTGCTCAGCAGGAGGACATAATTACTCCATCGCTCCTTGAGCTTCTTAATAACCCCTCCAGGCTTTGTCCTACTCCTCGGCAGCTCTTCTATGAATCAACAACTCCCTATTCAGTTATCTTGTTCTACTCGGTCGACTCATTTAGTTCCTTACAAAACAAGGTTTGTACTTTCCTTCCCCTAGACATTCTTTCATCCAACATTACCACCTTGCTCTAAGCAGGTACAATGCCTCCACTGGTACCAACAAAACAGGGGGAAATGTAGAAATAATGAAGATGCAGAGGGCTTTGAGGCAGCATCATATTCTGTTCCCATTGCTTTGCATGCTTTTATGCCAGTTCTGCTTCACTGTAATGAGCTCCATCACTCAATCTACTGAAGTTACGCCCCTACATATCGTATCCCCGGGGGTGCTGCAGCGAAAAAGACATCCCTTTTTTGTATTTTCCCCCAAAAGATAGCTTTGCATCGCTTGGGCTATGATAAGGCACATTTGATGATTAAATGCCGTGTTTAGCTGAGAAAAGAAAAGCGAAGAACCTGCTGTTCCTCCCAGGCAGGAGAAAAAGATGAGGCTCAGAGTCGTGTCTCTCTAAGGAATTAAACTGCAATAAGCATCTCTCTCTTTCCCTCTTTCACTATTTATCCTGACTTCTTCCATGCCGCTGCCAGTCGCTCTGCATTGGCGTAACCTGTAATGTAAATGAGAATTGTGTTATTTACGGCTGGAGACCAGCTGCTTGCTTTTCTTTGCAAATAGGCTCATCAGCAGAGTGGCAGCTGTGTGACTGTGCGTCTGTTGGTATGTGGCACACTTTTTATCCATGTGTCTTATCACGTCACGCTGCCGAGCTGTTCCCAATATGTCACCGTGCAGCCGCAGCTCTTCTAATGACAATGTTTGGCTTATCCTCAACATAATTGCAGAGCTCTTGTGGCCCAGGTAAAACTACAGGAATGATTTGTTCCTGAGGTTTTTGTGTATTTTTCCTCCTTGTGCAGGGCATCACATTCGAGGAGGTGGAGAATTTCTTTACTTTCCTAAAGAACGTGAACGATGTGGACACGGCGCTGAGTTTCTACCACATGGCCGGAGCCTCCATAGATAAAGGTACTCCCACATTTTCCTCCTGACATTCTCTCCACCTAATTACTCCCCTTAAGACTCAACTGTTGTCACCTTCATCCCCTCCCTGTCTCTCAGAGCTGTTAACACTCTGCCAGCCAGGTTCTCTTCCCGTATGTCCTTCTCTTGCTCAGCCATCTCTCGTCTGTTTCTCCATCTATCCATTTATCTCCTGCCTCTTCCTCCTGGCCTGCTGGAAAACATTCAAATCCGAGAACCACGGACATGCAGACATGACAGATCCAGTGAGGGCGTTATACCTTGTCGTTGTCCGTCATTTTGACAAAAAAGGGTCGTTAAAACATCTGTCATAATCTATTATTACCCTTTAGTTTGATTTTCTTTACTTTTTAATGATAGTAAGGCATATCCGATCGCATTTGCATAAATACATTATATATACAAGCTTATAGATGCTTTTAAAAGGGCATAGTGAGAAAAGATCAATATTGACACCAAATGGGGGCAACATTTTTATAGGCATTATTCCTACCTAAATAGGCAAATGTGAACAATGCAATCCTAACAAATGACAGACGGCTTCTCATGACCGTTTTGATTTTGTTCTGACGACTGTACTGTCAACCCAAAGACTGATTTAGCACTTGATCCAAAGTCTGAAGTCGGCAAACATTTCTCCCAGGGAAGTGATCAGACGTTCGCAAGAATCTCTGAACGTTGCGTTTCATTCATCGATCCTGAAAGCACTCAGTTCAGAGGGAGGCTATCCTGCTCTTCACTGAGAGGAGAAGAGGAGGCCTGCTGTGATAAGCCTCAGTGTTCCAGTCCGTTAAAATGATGGGCAGCTTTTAGATTTGTCTAATGACAGGTAATATACCATTAACGTGACATATGGACCTCTGATGCAAGACGTTAATAAAGTTTCAGCCCTGGTTGGTTTGGCAGCACCTGTGGTTACCGTGGCAACAGTAAGTGCAGTTTAATACTCCAGCAAACAGTCATTGAGCAGCTACTTTGTCAGAAATACAACAGTGGCTGATAAACAAATGCACGTTGTTTACATACAGACGTAGGTTAATACGCTGGCTTTTTCCATCAGGCCCTGAGTGGCAGAAATCTAATTTAATTCTTCACACAGAGCAGAAGCTGTTTGCCACACTAAAATGTTGGTTACCTTCCTCACTGTGGAGGCTTCGTGTTCATCCATTACTCCTTCTGCTGTCAAACAATGCAGGAAAAGATTGTTGTCTTGTTTTGAAGAAGTATTTTTGATAAGAAAATCCCGCTAAGATCCAATCGCTAAGACAATACCTTCTGGCTCCCTCACAACGAAGCTAAATGTTGTTTAGCTAGTTGAGATGTGAAGCAGCTGCAGTTGAATGTTTGGTTTGTATTAGCACAGCCCTCACACTGTGTAATGACACCGTTAGGCTGTTATCATTGAGGCCCAACTTGTGAGTGCAGGGAATTTAAATAGACGTGGTAATACAAAAGCAATGAGAAAACTCTATGGGAGGTCTTTTCGGATGTAAATGGATTGTACAGCTATTATGGAAAAAAACAATCTGTGTGATTTCATTCAAAAGTCTTGAGGAATATAAATTAGATGATTGTCCCTGAATTCTAACTCCTGAATAATGTGTCCCTGATGATTATTCAAAAAGACCAATTACTAAAAGAGTCAACGTGTTCTTTCCTTTATCTCCTTCAACACATTTCTGAATGAATCTGTTATATATCCTATCAATGAAAGTCTAATGTGAGAGCGTCACAGAGAGCGAGGACTTGCAGCTTTTATAAAAGGGCAAATTGTTTGATGATGAGTCAATATTCTCCTCATTCATTGCAGTGATTCAGACTTCGTTGGGCCTCCATATGTTTACTGTCAGCACATCCATTAGTTCTGACTCACTGATGAAACAGCTTCAGCAGTAGGGAGTGCAGGCTCTGCCCCGAGGTGCTTGTTTTCCAGCGTATGGTTTCATCTGCAATAACAGTAACAAGCCATGTGTGTGTTTGTGAGTGTGTTGTGGAGCGGTATAGAGAGCATCAGTCTGCAGAGGGTTAGTGGAGAGCTGCCAGGCGTCTGTAAATTATCTCCGCACAGTGAAACCGTCTTCCTCCTCTTCAAGCCTTATAGGGGAAGAGTCTTTTGAAGTGGGGTTGTATGAGGTAAAAGTTGAAAATATCCAATGGCCATTTTTTTAAATGATATTACTATTGCAATATGATTCACTATATTGTACAAATGATCATGCCTCCATTGACATCACTATGTAACACTCACGCTTCTATTGGCTAGCGCTCCAACACATTGTACTTAATAGGCTAAGGGGCGGGACAGCTCGGCCAGCTAACCAATCAGAGCAGACTGGGCTCTGGTTTCAGACAGAGGGTGAAAAGAGGTGCTGCACAGGCAGTATGCGAAAAATAAAGACCTTTTTAAAACATTAAAGTTGAGGCACATCATGTCACAAAATACAAATATGTAAATAAATGTGCTGCTGCCTCTTTCCAAAGCAGCACATTGCTCAGCTCCTGTTCTGGTTCTCCTGTTCCTCTAAACTGGATCATGCCAACAGTCATCTACTGTATATGGACTGGATACAAGTAACTCAAACAACGCCACCTCAAAAGATCTGAATGATCCCTTCAAGGAGCTCCTGTACTTTACACCCTTCGTTTTTGTGTGTTTCATCTCACTCAAATCTGATCATATCACACCCTTTTAGTAGGCTACGGTTTCTCACATGCGGGTGTGTTATCTGGAACTGCACATTGTTAAAGGTAGAAAAGAAGGCCACTGAATAGATTCTTGTCGGAGTGACTCAGCAGTTTTTTTTTCTTTCTCCTGCCATTTGCAGGAAGATTGTGTTTTGTTTTCATCCCTGCCCTCTCCTCTTTTCTCATTCTCCTGTTTCTCTTAAGCTTTGCTCCTCTTCTTGTGTCTTTTTAATAAATCATTCTGGGTGAGACTATGGAGGTTTTCATCATTTGTTTTTCTGAAATGACCTCAGAAGCTGTTTCCTCTTCTCTCTCAGCCAGTCTCCTTCTCAGCTAGATGTCCCGATGCTGTCCTCTCCCGCCTTTCTCTCTCTATTAGATAGTCTCTCCGGTGAGCTGCTATCGATCCCAGGCAGTTTGACTCTCACACAATTTCCTCCACATGGGCCCATTTATGAGTTGACTCGCACCTCTATTACTCTCTTCCACAAATGTTCTCTATCTGTGATCCCCTCCCTCTGTCTCTCAGTTACCATGAAGCAAGTGGCCCGCACCGTGGCCAAGGTGGAGCTGTCGGACCACGTGTGTGACGTGGTGTTCGCTCTGTTCGACTGCGACGGTAAGCACCGACTAACTATGGAGGGCAAATAACATTTTAAAGGTCCCCTATTATACTGTTTTTCATCAATATATTATAGGTCTCAGATATCAACAAAACATGTCTCTGAAGTGTTTGGCTCCAAATACCAAACAGATCGTGCATTGTAGCATCCCATAATCCCCTCTGTTTCTGCCCTGTTCCAAAAGTGCTGATTCTCTGTCTGTTATTTAGATGAAAATAAGGAGCCACTCCCCACGCCCCTCTGAGAGATATTTGGTTAAAAATAACACAATGGTGCTCTAGGAGGAGATTCAGGTGATAAGGTGGGGGGGTGTTACCTTGGTTGGTGATTGGCTAATGGTTACACAAGCCAAAAAATCGTTATGACATCGTAAAGTGGCCAAAATCTGATCAGCTCATTTTCAGACAGGTTTTTATCTAAATGGATCAGGACAAAAAGTGAGTGAATATTTTTTTCTGAAACTTTCAGAATCTCTTTCCACAGAGGGGACACATGTTTATGTATGAAAGACATGAAAAAGTGGATTTTGCATAATAGGTGACCTTTAACTGACGGGAGGCAATCATTAACAAATGGAAGTGTTCTTCTCCTCCTCTCATGTACTCTTTGTCTATTATTTCATCATCTGTCCTCTGTCATACCCTCTCCCTCCCGCCTCCTTGTCTGTCTCCCTCAGGGAATGGAGAGCTGAGTAATAGGGAGTTCATCGCCATTATGAAGCAGCGGCTAATGCGTGGGCTGGAGAAACCCAAGGACATGGGCTTCACCCGGCTGGTGCGTGCCATGTGCAAGTGTGCCCAAGACACCGCCTGGGACTTTGCCGTACCAAAGTCATAAAGAGACGGAGGGCTAAGTGTGCGCAGGAGATGGACGGCGTGTGAATAAAGCAACAACACCAGTAGCACCAACAGGTCTCCACGATACAAACACATTAATGCAATGAACTCATTAGGACTGCAGAGGGGCTTCATCCACCGTAAACGCATGTCGCTGTAGTTCAAAACATCAATAAGGTGACTGAAGCGACTGAAGCATGCTGACTCAGCGCACCGTTTCCTGAAAACGCTTCTCTAGCATGCCTGTCCAAGGCATCATGGGTATGTTTTAAAATATACAAGGTTTGTACGTTTATTTTTGCCATATTCTATTTAGAGGAATGCAGTGTCAGCAGGTATGACCCTTAAGTCAAATGCTAAAAACAGCACTTTTATATCTGCATTCAACACATTTTACTGAAGAAACAGACAGGAAGTGGAATTAAACTTCAGCTGTATAAATGCGGCAGTATGTCCATTCTATACCAAAAACAGACCCTTAGTTATTTCTTTGCTGGGGCAGAGGTCAGTGATCTTGTTAGCATCTCTTCATTCAGTCTGCTAGCTCCAGCTGCATCTTCATTCTGTCCCATAAAAGATCAATAATGCTCATCCTGCTCTACAATGTACTGTTCAAAGTGTGTATTTTTAATTATGATTTCCAACTGAAACACTTTATATGAGATGGATGTTAAAATAAATGCTATATTAAAGATGTTTTTAATAATGAAGAAGTGATTAAGCTTTATTTATGAGTGTTCTGCTTAAGTTGGATTGTTGTCATGCCATGTTCTCATTTCACACTTCGACTTGGAGAAAAGAGCAACGGGGGATTAGCGTGAATAATCCATGTGGCACAAAGGAAGTCATTTGTCATGTGTAATGAAATTGAGTGTAACGTTTTGAGGCACATTTTGTATGGCTGATTGTATGCAGTGGCTTTGAGTGTGTGCCAGAGGGAGAAAAATATGCTAATGTGTGTGCAACAGTGGTCAGCAGTTTTGTCTAATTGAAATGGACAGGATGGGCAGTCCTCGGCCTCTGATGCCCATTAAAGGATTGTCCTGCAGCCGCTCAGCACACACACTGCTGCAGAGGCCTGAGAGGAGCTGTTGGCTCCTGCACACTGCGACTGACACACAGAAGTGCTACTAGGAATGATTGCGAGGCAGGAGATTTGATTGAGTTTCCTCTCATCAGCACTCCTCAGCCGTGCTCCTTTCTGAGCATAAGTCTGGTGATGGATCGTTAAAAGAGTCAACTTTTCAACAGTCACCTTTAAACATAGCATTCTGAATTTCTGAAACTGCATAAATTCGAACTAATCCAGTATAGGGCTTTTAGTGTTTTCAATATCTTAAAATAACCCGTAATGAAGCAGATAATCCTTTGCTCTTCAGACAAACTCAAAACCTATGGTAACTCATGTTTAATAGTTCCATCAGTCATGTTTATGTTTAGATAAAAACTTTTTGTCAAATCTGTACAGTGTTAGAAAAGTGTGAATAATGCCTTCTGTTTGTTATATTCAAACAGTAAAAAACCTCAAGAAAATCAGGTTAATATCAAATGAAGCAGCTGGACCCAGTGATTGTACCGTGACTATACAAAATATTGATAAATGTCCTCAATTAAAGATTGTTCATATTATTCCAGCACTGACTGGTTTCTTCAGCTTTAAAACCCTAAAGGCTCCTGTATCTTGTAGTGTAAATCCCATCATGCTGCAAGCAACATGGCCTCGAACTGCTTCCAGTCTGCCATCAACTGTTCTGCACTCACAAGTTGCCCAGTAACAGCTGTACAGTAGCTGCAGCACCATCCCCACCCCCCAACCCCCTCTCAACAGCTCAGCCGTGTAAACTCCGAGCACACACGCTGTCATGTTTCCCTGCTTGGTGAGCACTGAAGCAACGCCCAACGGTGAACTGTTGTCAGGCTGAGGAGAGGGGGCTATATTTGGAGTGACTGCAGACCTCCCTCCTTAGTCAACAGCGCTTCATGTGTTGGCACAGAAGTGTACACAACATTTCCTCAGTGTAGATTCATAAACTGCATGCACAATGCATGTGCTGTTTAGGAATAAGGCTTTTTCTCTTTTCGCTGAATGCTGCAAGTGTTTCCTTCATAAGGCCATATGTCATGGTTTATAACTAAATGCAAAGATAAAATATATTTAGTATGATTGCAATGTGAGAACAGTGTAACCAATCAGCCGAATCTAATCACTTGTCCTGCTTCTCCATCAAGTTTTTTTTAAAAGGATGGCAATATTGGTAATTTATTGTGCTAAAACTTGAGTTATATTACAGTAACTTATGATCCAGCCTAGTGCAAGTAGTATTCATTCAAAGCAAGAGACTGACTTTTCTCTCAAGGCATTGTATGGATAAAGTTCTTAGTTAATGGGCACTTAATGGGTAAGACTGGTCGTGCACTAAATGGAAGGCTAATGGTCGATCCCCCAAAAATGCTCGAGTCTGTGAGAATATTTATAATTCCCGATGAGCAGGTGGAGCCTTGCCTCCCAATTGTATGGAAGTGCAAGGCTAAATTGTTTGGAGTATCCCTTTCTGTTCTATGGCAAGGGATAAGGTGTCAGTTCACACTGTACATTGAGTTTCCCATTTTCAACTGAAGCTCAGTACTGGAGCAAAGAAATACCTGACTGCCATCTAGTGGTTTTCCTTGACACTTATACAGTTAATGCCTGTGAATATGCTGTTTGTAACTAAATGGACAAAGCAGCTTATTTGTAGACACCCAGCAACAACATTATCCCCGTTATGTGTCCATAAAACACAGCTCAGTGAGAAACTGAGGACAAATGACTCTTATCTAACAATTGTAGGGAAGATTAAAAAAGAAAAAAGTGTAATACCAATCACACCAACATTTGAGCTATTCGGTCTTTAATTACATCTAAATCCATTAATAAAAAAAAAGGTTCTCAAAAGTCCCTACAGGTTCACACCGTAAATTCCAATCATTGAAACAAACATGGCTCTCGGTTACATTGACTAATAATACATTCGATACCACTAACAGATTAGAGCAGGAGTATCCTAACATCAGAAGAAATCAGTTTCAAAGCAAAATGGCTTAAGAAAAAGAATGAAATGGACAGTCTAAGGTCCTCAACATTGAAATGGAATAAAACTTAATAAATACACAGTATAAAACTCAGTTTTACTTTCCAAAAGATTGGGTAATGTTAAGTGAAAAGAAAATCCAAGTGCCAAAAAAAAAGAAATGGCCAAAAAGAAATGTTGACAAACAACCAAAGAAACTTCAAGAAACCATGTGATCCATTAAAATCGTTATCAACCTTGTTTCATCATATAAGAACCTGTTGGGGTGTATGGCTGTCAATCATACATAGAACAATGAAAGAACAGGTTAACATCAAAACAAACTGAAAAGGGGGCCCAATACACACATTGGCGTTTACCATTAACAGGTGGCCTGCAGCCACCTAGTGGCTATAAGTGATGATATCACATGGGTGCCAACCTTAAGCAGTACAGCGAAGGGCAGCTGACGGAAAGTGAGCGCCGGCTCAGCTCTACGGCTCACTTCCTGTCAGTGTGCTGCTGGGTAGTGATGACAGAGGGACTGGTAACAGGGGGGGGGGAAGCGATCATCAGACAGTCCTGATCACACAGGTACAGTAAAGTTCAAAGAGCCGTCCTTATTCACTGTCAAACTTAATAGAGTTGACGGAGGTGGAGTTGATGGCTCCGCCGCGGTAGCTCCCCCTCTTCTTCTTTGTCTTTTCATGGCGGAATGACTTGCCCTTTGTGAACCTGAGCGTGTCGTTGGCTTTCTGGCCCCAGTCCCCGTTTGATCCGAACTGGAAAAGCAAAGACAGATGATTAAGAGTGAATGATCAGCACCGCCATTTCAGTAATGCGTTTTTTAAATTGCTCGTCGCCGTAACTGAACTCACCTTTGCATCAAAAGAATTGTCTTGGAGACGGGGATCCACCGCTACTTCTTCCTCTCTTATTCTACGGAAGGGTACATTGGACGACTGGAAGAAAACACATTTCCATCAAATCATGAACTATTATTACACTTTTTTCCCCTTTAAGAAACCATGCTCAACACTAAGTTCTAGTCTCTGACCGGCCTTACCTTCTTATTGGCTTTAGGAAACGTCTGAGGTGTGGTTGTTGCCATCTTGGTTTTTGGTGTAGTCATTTCTGTCTCTTCCTCGTCGCTCTCCGGTGACTCTTCACCTTTTTTTCTTTTTCCTGCATACGAGAGGGGGGGGGGGATGTTTAACTTTGAGTAATCTAGGATGAAGTTGACACTGCATTACATTTCATACTCTGTATTTGTTTGCGACTCACCATTTGTTGTGGGGGTGGTGGGTGCAGTGGCTGCTCTGCGTGGTGCGTCCTCCTCTGATGAACTGTCTGAGGAGCTGCTCTCTTTAGCTTTAGCAGCCGGGGTCTTCTTGGGTGTTGCTGCAGGTGTAGCAGGTTTTACAGCACTTTTACTGGCCTCTTCTTCCTCTTCGGAGCTGCTGTCACTGGACGATGACTCTGCAGGCTTTGCTGGAGTCTTGGGTGTAGCTGCCTTGGGTGTAGCTGCCTTGGGTGTAGCTGCCTTGGGTGTAGCTGCCTTGCCATTGGTGACTGCAGGCTTGGCAGGGGTGGCCTCAGTCTCTGAATCGGAGCTGTCGGAGCTGCTCTCAGCCTTCTTTGTTGAAGCTTTGGGCGTGCTAGCAGGGGCTGCTGCTGCAGGAGTTGGTTTCTTGACTGCAGGTTTGGCTGCCTCATCCTCAGAGTCACTGTCGGAGTCAGAGCTGCTCTCTGCTGCTGCCGCTGGCTTTGCAGCGGGGGTAGTTGGTTTAGCCTTAGCTGATGTAGCTGGCTTAGCCTTAGCTGATGTAGCTGGCTTAGCCTTAGCTGATGTAGCTGGCTTAGCCTTAGCGGGCTCTTCATCTTCAGAAGAAGACTCAGAGCTGCTCTCTGCTGCAGCAGCTGCCTTTGCTGCGGGTGTAGCAGGCTTAGCCGCTGCAGGTTTAGCCTTGACTGCTGGTTCTTCCTCTTCAGAAGAAGAGTCAGAGCTGCTCTCTGCTGCAGCAGCCGGCTTGGCTGCAGGCGTAGCAGGCTTTGAAGCTGGGGTAGCTGGCTTTGCGGCTGGTTTAGCCTTAGCTGGTTCTTCATCTTCAGAAGAAGAGTCAGAGCTGCTTTCCGCTGCAGCAGCTGGCTTTGCTACAGGCGTGGCCGGCTTAGCCTTAGCGGGTGTAGCTGGTTTAGCCTTAGCTGGTGTAGCTGCCTTAGCGGGCTCTTCATCTTCAGAAGAAGAGTCAGAGCTGCTTTCCGCTGCAGCAGCTTCCTTTGCTACAGGCGTGGCCGGCTTAGCCTTAGCTGGTTTAGCCTTAGCTGGTTTAGCCTTAGCTGGTGTAGCTGGCTTAGCCTTAGCGGGCTCTTCATCTTCAGAAGAAGACTCAGAGCTGCTCTCTGCTGCAGCAGCTGCCTTTGCTGCGGGGGTAGCAGGCTTTGAGGCGGGTGTAGCAGGCTTAGCCGCTGCAGGTTTAGCCTTGACTGCTGGTTCTTCCTCTTCAGAAGAAGAGTCAGAGCTGCTCTCTGCTGCAGCAGCCGGCTTGGCTGCAGGCGTAGCAGGCTTTGAAGCTGGGGTAGCTGGCTTTGCGGCTGGTTTAGCCTTAGCTGGTTCTTCATCTTCAGAAGAAGAGTCAGAGCTGCTCTCTGCTGCAGCAGCCGGCTTTGCTGCAGGCGTAGCAGGCTTTGCAGCTGGTTTAGCCTTAGCTGGTTCTTCATCTTCAGAAGAGTCAGAGCTGCTTTCTGCTGCAGCAGCAGGTTTTGCTACAGGAGTGGCAGGCTTTGAAGCTGGTTTAGCTGCTGCAGGTTTAGCCTTAGCTGGTTCTTCATCTTCAGAAGAGTCAGAGCTGCTTTCTGCAGGTTTTGCTACAGGAGTGGCAGGCTTTGCAGCTGGTTTAGCTGCTGCAGGTTTAGCCTTGGCTGGTTCTTCATCTTCAGAAGAGTCAGAGCTGCTCTCTGCAGCAGGTTTTGCAGCGGGGGTAGCAGGCTTTGAAGCTGGGGTAGCTGGCTTAGCAGCGGGTTTAGCTGCAGCTGGCTTACCTGCAGCTGGCTCTTCCTCATCCTCAGAGGAGGAGTCAGAGTCTGAGCTGCTCTCTGCAGCAGCAGCAGGCTTTGCAGCTGGCTTTGCAGCCGGGGTAGCAGGCTTTGCAGCAGGCTTAGCTTTCACTGTCATTTCTTCATCCTCAGAGGAGTCATCAGAGCTGCTCTCAGCTGCCTTGGCGGGGGCTTTGGAAGCTACAGCAGCAGGTTTTGGTTTGGCTGCAGCTTTAGCAGCAGGTTTGGCTGGAGCCTCATCTTCAGAGCTGCTGTCTGGAAAAACCAATACAATACTTTAACATCAGATAGACACAAATGTAGTCACTTGATCATGGCACACACAGCTAAAACGTTGACTGTATATTACAACAGTCCTGCAGCAAATCCTGGCCTGATGTTAAGTTAACAAGTTTCAACGTAAACTAAATATTATCCTCAACAAAGATACACTGCCTTAGTTGTAGCAAGGTGAACAAACTGACAACCGTGTATGTAACGAAACTGGGGAGAGTTTATATATTATGTATAACTGACAGTTCTCATGATGGAATTTAGTTGGATCCCTCCACAAACTGGTAGCACTGGCAACACAGTTTAAGTAAATGAAAGCAAATTCAAGACAGAAAATAAACCACTTTGACAGAGATACAGAGCTCACACCCTCAAAATGTCTCTTACCTGAACTTGACTCCTCTTTTTTAGCTGGTGCAGGTTTAGCTGCTGGCTTCTTTGCAGGAGTCACCTTTGCTGCAGGTTTTTTGGCCTCCTCTTCCTCCTCTGAACTAGAATCGTCCTCTGAACTGGAGTCTTTTTTAGCAGGCGTGACTTTAGCTGCAACAGGTTTAGCTGGAGCAGCCTTTGCAGGAGTCACCTTTGCTGCAGGTTTTTTTGCCTCCTCTTCTTCCTCTGAACTGGATGAGTCTGAGTCTTTAGCGGGAGCAGCCTTGACTGGGGCAGCTTTAGCTGGGGTGACTTTCACAGCAGGCTTTTTTGCCTCCTCTTCATCTGAGCTTGAATCTTGAAAAACATGGGCATGGAGAGGAAGATTTGTTACATTTTGCATCAAACACAAAGTAGAAAATGACAGAGTGGGATTGTAATTGTTACCTGAGCTGGACTCCTTCGCCGCTGGTTTTGCAGCGGGGGTCTTTACCGGTGCAGGCTTTGCTGTTAGGATAACAACGCTGTTAGATATGTCATTTCTGAAATCACTACTTCCAAGTTGGGAAAACTGGGTGCCTTACCAGCTACTTTCTTCTCTTCTTCCTCGTCACTGCTGCTGTTTGAGGAGCTGTCCTTGGCCTTGCTGGCTGCTGGTGCAGCTGGAGCCTTGGTCACTGAAGCGGGAGGTGGGACTGCACTGTACGCTCCTACCAAGGCAAAGCAAACTAATCAGCCTCATAACACAGGGCCCATGTCCAATACTTTAAGCACTTAGGTTTAGGTGACATACTGCAAAAGAGGGACTGTAGTGTTACTCCAAAATAGGTGCTAGCAATTTCAAGTTGTTCTATTTTTACCAAAAGATTCCTCTATCAGATTATGTAAGGCTAAAAGATGACAGGACAGACTAACTATCATGTAAAATAAAACTGAAGTTAATATAACTACCTTTCGTTTGATTGGAGTTACAGAACCATGATAACAAAAGAAAGGCTTTGCTCAGAAAGGCCAACTCATTGCAAGTGCAATCAAACCTCTCTGTGTTTATTGGTTTTCATAGCCCCAAACAAGTTTTATAACTTGACATTGTCTGGCTTTTATAATAGAGTGAAAATAAAAACCCACCTGCTTTGGGTTTTTTGCTGGGTGGAGCCTCATCTTCAGATGAGTCTTCACTGCTTGATTCAGCAGCAGCTGCTTTCACGGGGGCCGCTTTAGCTGGAGCCGGTTTAGCTGGAGCCTATCGGACATGTGAAGTAAGTATTGTGTGTGTAACAAATGTACTTTACTACAATAACTTTTTCTATTTGTTTCTAAGTTTTGGAAGAAAGATATTTACATATGGGCAGTATCTTTTACATACCTTGGTTGGTTTTTCATCTTCTGAATCTGATGAACTGTCTTCGCTGCTGCTATCTTTTTTTTTCTGAGCTGCAGCTTTAGCAGGAGCAGCAGATTTGGCTGCTGTGACTGTAACACCCTTGGCTTCTATTAAAGGTTAATAACATAAATTAGATACAACACATTTCATTATAATCATCTCAAAATAAATTCACAATATTAAATGACATCTTGCTCTAGACTCACTGGCTGGGGCTTTAGCAGGCTGCTCATCCTCAGAGTCAGATTCTTCACTGCTGGAGCTGCTGTCTTTCTTCCTTCCTGCAGCAGGGGCAGCGGGCGCCTTCACAGGAGCCTACATGCGGAACATTCATTTTAATAATAGCATAACCACCAGACATGGCTTTCAACACTGGCAAGATCTTGTATGAAACTATAATTTGAATTATTCTTCCTACCTTTGCAGGAGCCTTTGCAGGGGCCTTCTCCTCCTCAGAGTCACTGGAGTCTTCACTGCTGCTGGATGCCACTTTAGTAGCTGCTGCTGGTACAGGTGCTTTAGCGGGCACCACCTTAGCTGCTAAAACAAACATTACAGAGATATGTTACACATATATAACCGGATCATAAATGTTACCGACCTATTTAAACCATCGTAATCAGTTTTCTGCATCAAAACATTGATTTTACCTGCAGGGGCTGCCTTGGTTGGTTTTGCAACCGCTGCTTCATCGTCGCTGCTTGAGTCTTCGCTGCTGGAGCTCGCTGCACTGGTTTTTGCCTTCTTGGCTGATGGACTTGTTTTAGATTCAGCTGTGCTGGAGGGCGCCTTTCGTTTCTTGGCTTCAGGAGACCTAGGAAGACACATGGGTATATTAAAAAGGGAACAGCTACCTCAAAAATTATCTAGTCATTTATTGTATACATTTCTCCTATATCTGAAGAGATTAGCGACAAAGCATATTTATCTCAACTACAGAGACTAATCCTGTAGCTGCTGCTTAGAGAGTGAACCTTAAGACATAATGAGCAGAAATTATTCTTAAAGTGAATATTTAAAAGGAAAAATGCATATTATTTAGCATCACTTGTATAAATCCCAAATTCAAGGGATAGCAGATCCACTTTAACCTAATAATGCACCAGTTAAAGCACTATTCTGCTGCTAAGGTAAACAGACTACTTTACACTAAAACAATTTTTTAAATCACGTTTAAGTCTGATAAAGGGTAGATTTTGTTTGTATTAGAGATAGATTAGACAATGCATAGGTGAACAGTGACTGCAAATGATAGGTGCAATGAGAACCCAATAAAAAGGCTTGGCCATATCTTAAAAGTGTATTAATATCAGTACTAAACAAGTTTTAGTGCTGACTCAATAACAAACAAAACAAAAAAACAACTCACTTCACCCAGAAGTCGTAGATGCCGACGAGGCTCTCATCATTTTCATCTTGTGGAGTCTGTAAAGAAACACGTGAAGCACTCAATTAGCCATTTGCAGTTGTAAAGTTTCACAAATTCGCAATCAAATACATGTTCCTGCAACGCAACACAATATAATGCCAATTAAAATATTAGTATGAGCTTTTAAAACGAATGGCAACCAAAGAACAAAGTGTGCCTGTACACACGTGCTACCTTTCCTAATGGGTGTACGGCCCCTCAACGTTACATGGCTGTACGTGTACTCCTCGTGCAGCATGTCTCAACTTCACCACACCGCTAGAGACAGACAGCACGAGCCACAGACTAACAACAACACACAGTGAGCCGCTTACCACTTTAGTCTGTTTCATAAACTGCTGAGCCGCCTTGGTGAACTTGTTCTCCACCAGAAAGGAATATACGCATTTGTAAAGATCGCTCGGCATCGACTTTTGCTCCGCCATCTTCACCACGCTCTTTTCTGGAAGGAAGGAAAGTGAGCGGAAGCGTCAATTGTGCGCATGCGCCTCACTATATGGCATGTTCCTCTCGAACTTTTGTTGATTTTGAAAATATTTTTTTATTGAAAATGTATTTGTTGAGTTGTAGTTTATATGTGGAACCCCTGTAATGTTATACACTCGCATTTCTCCTATGTAATTTATATATTTCTAGCCATGCTTTTATCAACATAGGCGCACACGTTATACGTCATCGCCAAAACCGTTTCCTGTCCCTCGTGTCATCATAACATGGTCGCCTTTGAACTGAGTATTCTGGCAATGACACCAACCCAGCAGATTTAAAACTGTGAATCGAGGAATTATTTGCCTGAACCATGCCTCGCTACGAGCTCGCGGTGATCCTGAAGGCGATGCAGCGGCCCGGGACATCGGCTGCTCTCCGGCGGACAGTGGAGACTCTGATGGAGCGGGGCGCCGTGGTCAGGGACCTTGAGAACCTGGGGGAAAGACTCTTGCCCTACAAGATCAACAAACACAACCAGAACCACCTCCGAGGGTCTTACTTTTTGATCGATTTCTACTCAGCCCCTAACATCCTCACTAGTTTACTGGATCACCTGCACCGTGACGTGGACGTGGTGAGGCCCACTGTGCTGAAGAAGGACGGCGAGGTTTCCAGCAGTAACTGCTGTGGGTCTTAGCTGTGATTAAATGTAAGGAATGGCTGAAGTGGGTAAAGCCAAGTTTATCAGTATTACTAACTATGTATGTGTTTATAAATTAAACCTACAGCTGTGGAGTGACATCATTGTGAGTATCTTGTGTGCACACTTAACTCTTCCATGGCTTCCATTAGATAATGTCCTTTTTGTCAATCTGCTTAAACAATCAGTAATTCATTGTATTCAGTAAAATAACAACATTGACATATACCAAACATCACAGGTTATGATGGAGGTTAACATGATGGCTATTGGCCATTGGCCCCTTGGGGGGGAGCCAAAGATCGCAGGGGGGGCGCCAGGCCTCAGATGATTTGAGGCCAAATATCATATTTAGTCTTTTAAAAAAAAAAAAAAATGTTTACATAATTGTAACGCAATACATGATTGTCACTAAAAGCCTTGTCTCTACATTACAATAACATATAAAACATAATTGATTAATTAATTTGAATACAAATTCAAGTTAGTAGCTATTATAGGCATAACAAGACAGAAATGTATAATTCTTTCTTTAATAGAAATGTTTCTTCTGCCCGTAAAGTGTCCAAACCAGGCTTTTCTGGATAAACGCATTTTTGAAACATAGTCATTGTCCATGCCGGTTTCAGATTATTTGTCACAGTTGCTCCAATCAGATCGGTCTCCTCCATTTTGTAGATTATTTACGATTTTTGTATCCACATAAACACATCGGCAAAATCCGGCTTACTTTGAGCATGTGTTTTAAACAGTTTAATCCCTTTGTGAATTGTTTCCACTTGCGCCGTCCTTTAATTTCTTCATACAGCAAGGCAAGGCAAGGCAATTTTATTTATATAGCACTTTTCAGCACGTGGCGATACAGCGGGAATCCAAATGAATTAATCCTGAGTCCAATAACCATCAAAGTCACTCCAATAGTGCTCCTTGATTACGCTTTCATCATCCTTTAACAAAATACTTCACATTCATCCAGTTTGTGACAGTAGTTGTAGCATTTTTGAGACTTTTAAACTTTAATTACCGCTGTCGCGCAACTTCCAACAGGAGTCATTTGGAGGGACTCTTGGGAAAAAAGGTTGGGAACCCCTGGACTAGGCAATAGTTGACTCATCATTTCAGTACCTCCTTGGTTCAAAAGAAACAATGGATATCAAGGGCCTAAAACCATGTGTACATTTTAAAAAGTCTGGTCATTATTTTGAATTTTTGAGAAGCTCTCCACTTACTATGGATATGGAGATACATAAACATTCTGTAACATATTGTAGTCATGTGATTTTTATCAACTCAAAAAGTGCATTTCATCTAAATAAATCTAAAAACGTTCAAGTGTTAAAAGGGGATTAAGCTGTTGTTTAAATGACTTGAAGTTAGTAAACAAAGGTGCAGAAAGTCATAGATAAATCATTGCACAATCATGTCTGCTTTTCATATAACTAATAGAAAGTACTGATCGACCGTAAAACGGAACCGTTTATGCAGGCCTCTCCTTTACCTGCTGTTTATGGAGATCATGTTGTGCTGACTGTGCTGAAACGTACAGCCCTATTAAACTGTTGTTCCCTTTTCGTTCCCAGGTTTCAGGAAGATGTACAGTGTGATCCTCCCCTCTGATGTTTTCCTTGGGTGTTGACCTACACATTATGTTATGTCATAATAAACCTCTTTTTGCTATCTTAAGTTTGACTTATTTGTTCTTCCATATTAAACGTGTGCAATGCATGTGGTGTAGTCTTTATCATGTTTAGCATTTTCAGTACCTATTTTTAATTCCAGCTTGATATGGTTTATGTATTTCGGAAGTTGTCGTGTAGCCATCGAAACTTGAATTTAGCCCTCTAGGAAAACACAAATAATAAACAATTATTACACTTTTACTGATCCTCCAAACATAAGTGAGTTGTCCTCAATTGGAAAAACAACCCCCAACCCCACACCATTTCTAAAGAGATAAAGGTCTTAAAAGGAGGTTATGATGCTCTTATATCTTTGTTTGTTACCTTGAATTACATTTTAAATTCCCACTTCGCTTGTCTGGGCCCAATCCCACAGAAATCACACTATGTACTCAAATTAGGGACATTTAAAACATTTCAATTTCAAAAAAATAAAATTGAATTTAGTTGTCTTAAAAAATGTCTCTCTTAGATAATGTGATCAGTTAATAAACCACCTTTGGTACTTCTCTTATGCAAAGTAAAACCCTTAATTTTTTGTGCAGAAACAGAATTGTATTTTTTTGAAAGAACCAAGAGGATTGCTCCAAACGGCACTAACCACTATATAATTATAAAAAAATATCCCTTGTATATTATGTTTGTTTGAATGTATTAAGGATCCCAGATTAGATCACCAATGAATCAGACAGGCGGGCAGTCACATGAGCAGTCAGCTGACAGTGAGACATCATAAAGGCATCAACAGCCCAGCGCCTGCAGTGCGTTGCAGTCCTCTCCACTATACAGCACACACAGAGAAACGCAGACAAGACAGACGAGCCGGAAAACAGCGGAGTCATGCTGTTCCTAACTCTACTTTTTGTGGCTTCAGGTAATAAACACGCAACAGAAACAATAATGGTGTTTGTGAGTAAATGAAACTATTCAGACAGCATTCCGTTGCCGTTAAAAGTCTGGTTGTGTAACCTAGAAAGTGCGTTTCAACCTAAAGGCGGAAGCGTTACAAACAAACAACGTTTGCTTTGATTAACAGTAACAACCATGCTAGCGGTTACTTTATAGCAAACACGTTTAAATAATGTTTTTATTGTTTACATGCATTTGCCACATTAAACCCGTTTTCTAAATCTGTAAACCTCTTGTCATTACCGTTTCACTCTGGTGAAGGCGTTATTGTTGGCCCGCTTGGCTACCATTAGCTTATTAGCTAATGCTACTTCGCTAGCTATTTGAATGATTCCTCAACAATAGGGCTTACACTGTCATTTTAAGTTATTTGCCACATATTTAGCCCGTTTAATACTGTTAAAGAAGCATTGTTGTAGCTTATGTAGGAACATCACCACGAGGTTACCTTTTTTATACGCATTTAGCTAGCAGGTTTAAGATTGTTTGCATGGTGTTTATGTCGGCATGGTCATTGTTTTCTCATTTAAAATAGATTTGTCAGTCCATGCTGATCGGCCCTAACTAACATTTATGTACTGTAATTGGTGCTTTTTTGGACCTTAGTTTGGCTTTATAAGGAAGTTCAGTTAGGTTCCTCTTAACCAGCGACTTTCGTTTCAGCTTTTTAGTAGGTCGGGCTATTTTTTTTTGTAGACTCGTTTTTTGTTACCCAAGATTAGTCATACGTCACTGTTTTCATGTATATTTTTGCCACTAAAAACGTAGATAGCTTATCTTGTTGTTCAGACAAAAACGTATCGGTGAAATCAACAGCTCAGGTGTTTCTTTCATCATGCTTTGCATAACAATGACTAACGTTAGGCTATTTAGACATTCACATACTGATGATTGGCCTTGTAGCATTTGAAGTATTGATCTGAGATAAATGGCCTGTATATCAAAGTACTAGCTGAGTTTTCTTGCAGACCATTTGCAATATTGGTATCTTAAAGACATGGTAATGTGTGCTTAGTGTATTCATTGCATATCTTCAATACAACTTCTGGTTCTGTCCTAACATTTGTATTAAATAAGGGCTTAATTATATTGAACAACAAGATTAAACATTACTCGTGTATAAGCTGCTACACTGAAACTGCAATAGGAAACCTATTTAAAGACCTTGTGCTTCAATGTGTCTTGTGATGTTGATTCACCCACATTGTGATGAGTTTTCTGTTTTAAATCACCTTCCCAGAAAGGGAGTCAAATACAGGCCACTCTCTACATGACACAGTCTTTTTGTTTTTGCTGACTGAGTACTAAAACTTGTACTCTTAGTCTAACAGATGGCTTATTTTCTTTTGTATAAGATTACATAAAGCCATTACAAGTAAACAAGACATATGTTCCCTTGCTGTGTATTGCCTTGTTAACTATTTACCGTCATGCATAACTGCCCTCTCAGTTCAGTCTTTGAGAACAGCTTGTTATTTTTGTCTGACTGCTCATGTGACTCCAGTGGAGGGAGGGAGTGCCCAGCTGTACTGTAACTCTATTGGTAAGACTGTTGAGTAGGAGGGAGACTCAGCAGTGTTACTGGGGGATTCCATGGTTTGTTGGTGCAGCTGGACCTCCATTTCCATATCTTGGTTTGATCACCAAATGTTACTCCTTAGGCTTGGACAGCTCTCTTTTTGTATCAGTTTATACTTTGTGTTAACACTTGTACTTGGGTTTGTATTCATTTCCAATGGAGACATGTTCATATTAACAGAATTGTAGTCATGAGTGACTAAATGTAGTTTTTCTGACTTATGAGAGATGTGGAGTGGTAGTTTTATCAGGGAATTATGCTGCATACATTAGGTCCTTTTTCACATCACTTTTTTCCACTTCATTAAAATGGAGAACTGTGAACAATTACCCCCTTTGTTTTGTAAAGAACCAGAAGATAATATTGTCTTTGTATGCTAACCCTTGAGTTTCACTGTAGTGCATATTTAAATAAATGATTTCCCTAAGGGTATTTCTTCTTTGGCTTTTGCTTTTTGACTTGCTGGTTGGTTTGGAAATCGTGCCAGATTTAGAGCTATGCTTAGCTTATGCGACTTAGCATTTTGAGCTAATAGGCTTAAGTATGTTTTATCTTCATGACATTTATAAAACAGTTAGGGTAAATAGCCACAATCCTCAGTTTATGAATTGTAGTTCTCACTTTACAGGTATTTCTTGGGGCAGGGCTTTACGGCAATTGGTTTATTTGAGAAAGGTTAGCATAGGGAGATGGGTGACTGAAAAAGTGAATTTGTTATCGATCAGTGAATGAAACTTTAATGACATAGCTGCCGTTCAGAAATGATCCTCCGTTTTAAAACATTTCAGTTCTATCTCTATGCCACATCTAAGTCGTTCTTGCTTAACACATTTGGTAGCTCACTTAAAAAACACTGGTTGATGTATCTTAAAAAAAAGAAAACACTGCTTGTCGTCATTTGCAAAACATCTTAAAAACTCAGCTGACAAGGTGTGGATTGATTGCATAGGACAAAACAAATCAGAGTTGTTTTTAAAATCAAACTTGCAAAGCGCTGACACAGTAGATAGAGAACTTTAAACAAATTCCTCTTTCTGTTGATTGAGGAAATATTTCAGCCTTGAATTTCCTCATATCTTCATCACACCAGGAAAATTAATAAAAAAGAAGTGGCAAAAACATACAGCTTACTGTCAGTGAAGAATCAGAATACCTTTATTAGTCCCACAGAGGGGAAATGCACATAAAAGCAGAAAAAATAGCCACAGACAGCTTAATGTTACATATGTTACATGCATTCAAAAGTATTAAAGTTACAAAAAAGTTAGGATATAATACAAATAAAAAGTTACACAATTTACAAAATACGCATCCTGTAACTGTTCTTAGGATTTAGCAGCCAGGTATATATTGCATAGTTATTAACGGCATATATATATATATATTGCACATATAGCACATAGTTGGTTGGTAGCAAGACTTTCCAGCAATTGAGACTTGTTCAAATACCTATTCTAGATAAATTGAGAACAGGTAAACTGAAACCAATAGATGCAGTGCTTTCAAAAGGAATAAATACAATGGTTTATCAGACTTTATCTTTTAAGCACCAATACCATATCCAGGAAATGGTTGTGTCCAGCGTCTGCCTTCTCTAAACTGTACAACGTTTGACTCTTGGTTCACTTTGCAGCTGCTGCCACCCCCCTGCTGGGCACTGAGCAGTGTGCCCGCGGCGCCTCCTACTGGTGTCAGAATGTAAAGACTGCCTCTCTGTGCGGAGCTGTGGCTCACTGCCAGCAGAACGTGTGGAACAAGCCCCAGATGGTGAGACTCGTAAATATTTTCCTATGTAAACTGAGAAAGTGCCATTTATAATCATCTGCAAATACATGAACAATGTACCACTGTTGTAGAAATGCTGTAAAAAAATATTGAATCAATTGTGTGGTTTCAGAAATCAGTGCCATGTGACCTGTGCAAAGAGGTGTTGATGGTGGTGGAGCAGATACTGAAGGACAATGCCACTGAGGTAAGATAAAAATGAAATTCCTGTTGGATGAAAACCCCTTTTTAGTGGGAAAATTACTTCTATATCAAACCTAAACAGTCCTTTGGAAAACTGATGTCTGTATTTTGCTATTGCAGGCTGAGGTTCTTGGGTACCTGGAGAAGGCCTGCCAGCTCATCCCTGATCAAGGTTTGACTGCAGAGTGCAAGGAGATGGTGGATAGCTACTACCCCGTCCTCATGGGAATCATTAAAGGAGAACTGGTGAGCACCCTCAATCTGTTTGTACTAGTTTTGGCCATGGATAGATATCTAACAACAAAAGTAACAGTATAGACTCCATTTTAAGGATGCCATGTTAGATCTTATTAAAGGTTATTGAAGGTTTGGTTTGATCTAAGACTCTTGAATGAAGGGTCCATCTGCCCCTTTGAGCAGAAAATGTAAAGGGAAGTGGCTGTGAGCAAAGCGCAGCGAGCTGAATCGGGGCTATTGATCGGGAAGTGAGTCCAAGTCTATACAGGAACAGAGAAGTCATTGTGTAAGACTAAAGCTCGTGACTGGGA